CAGGTAATGATGTTTTATTGTAAATCTAGGCCAAATATTGCATGAAACATACTGAAGCTAAAATTTTTTTTTGTTTATCTGAAATTCAAATTTAAATGGGCATCTTGCATTTTATCTGAGAATCCTTACAAAAAAGACAAAAGAGTAAGGGGAGGGGACTGGAACACCCTGCCACTGATGGGTCACACAGAGACTAAAAATAAAAACAACAATAATGAAGCAAAGAATCACTACACTGGTTATTTACACAGACCAACATCACAATGAGAAGTTACAATTACTATTCCAAATGCTGTTGCCAGGAAATATTCTAGATTTCCGCAAAGCTGATTTTGTAAATGTTTTTGAGATACCATGTTGATAAAAGTACCTTTTTAGTTTGTAGGTATCAAAGACAAATACTACTACCACAAAGACAGGATGAGCTTGAAACAATGGAAGCAGAAGCAGGTTATCATATGCACATGAAGTTTAAACATTTTATGTCATGAATACAAAGGTTATATAGTCAAGGTCATCTTGTAGGGCTAGGCTATGACCCTCAAAGATTTTGGTTCTTTTCTAATTTTTCTGTGTATTTTCTAACTTTCATCCTGAACCTTGGGAGGGGCATGGCCGGTGAGAGGGACACCCCACTACCAGGGTCTAAATGCATTTCTCTGCAAACACATTGAATAGACAAAGGGCTCTTAGAGTTGCTGAAGAAATGGATAGACACATTAAAAAAAAAAAAATCAACCAAATCTAAATTCTGGAATATGAGAACTCTGTTTGAAAAGAAGGGTGGAGATGTGGAAGTGCACAGCAGAAAAGAAAATGTGAAAGAATGAAGAGTCAAATGCAATCACCTCTACTGTGTGCAAGACACCGAAGGGAGGCAGAACCCTCCAGCAGATGTAGAAATGGTCACGCCGTGAGCATCCTTGGTCTTACAGAGTATATAAAATCTTTAGTTTCCTATTGCTCTTTACTGACCACCAGTTGTATCTTAAAATTACTTAAAAAGCTAGAGTAACACTCCATTTCTACAAGGTTTTACTTTATGAGTAAACAATAGGTTTTGAAATCTTTCTAGTGTTTCTCCAAACCAGAATATCTGGTAGCGAGGAATTTCAGGCATAGAAAAATTGGAATGGATTGTTTATATCAGCTCCTCTGCACTCAAGGGAGCTTGACATACGAAACAATGCCCTCAAATGAGCTTAATAGGTAGGTGTGAAGCAGAGGAAGACATATCTGACTCACTGACACCTTTCAAACACTAAGAAATGGAATTACAACTTCTTATTAGAATATAAAAAGTTAAAAAATTTCTGCCATAGTTAAGGCTTTTTAAAGAAGAAACATTTGTCTATGAATTTCAGAATGTGCAAGTTGTCTGAAGAAGTCTCACGTTTTCAAATCGCATTTTGCTTTTCATATGCTAGATATGTCTAACCAAAATTTAAATGTTCTCTTCACAATTACTATCTTCATTTCTTTGTAGTTTGTCTTTAAATAGATTTATGACACATGAAACCCTACCTTAATGTCAGTTTTGAGTGTCCTCTGACTGACTACAATTTATAGTTCTATGCAAGATCATTAGTCTAATAGAAAACAGAGAAAGAAGCTATTTTTGACAGAAATCATACCAATGGAAACTGGACACAATGGGTAAAATATACACCATTTCTGTTTGAGAGGCTGTTTACTGGAATCCAGGGAGTGCACATTTAAAAGGAGGGGGACGGTAGCAATATTCAGTAGCCTGCTGTGCAACTGGGAGATGGACTGAATTAGAGAAAAACCTAGAGCACTCACTGCTTTCGGTCCTCCCAGCATACACCAAAATTTCATTTTTTGTATAAAGGTTAGAGTAGGATATTAATCTTTATTATTTTATTTGCCTCATCCAGGCAGTTCTCTGTATATTTCAATGCACTCTGCTATTTTGAGAGCAAAAGGAAATTAGTCTAGCTACTAATATCAAGTTCAAATGAGCCAAAGATGCTACTTCATGAAAACATCCTATGATTGTTCATATTTTGCTTGAAAAGCCAAAATTCCAAACTTCAAGAGTGAAAAGGCAAGTAAGAATCTAGTCATACTGCTATTACTTGTATAGAATTAAGTCTCTGGGCTCCATGCTATCATTTGTTGACAAAGTGGTAAACTCTTCTGAGCAGAACACATGAGGCCTAAGTTGAGCACATGAGGCCTGGTTGAGATATGGAAACAGAGATACAGTCTACTTTTGCAAGACTCACTAAGGAGAAGGGAAGTCACTTCAACTGTAACTTTTGAAGTGAATTTTACTTCCAGAGTATCAATCTGAGGAAGAGGGAAGGAGACCAAGTCCAGGGAGAAAGTGTCCAGCCCAGAGCACTTAGTTTATGCCTGAGTCAAGTATCTAGCTGGGCAAGAATGCCTAGGAACTGGAAGCATCAGGTCTAGAAGCCCTTTGATTTGAGAACTGTGGTAAAGCCAGATTCTCTCTTACAAGCATTTGAGAAAGAGGGGCCATTTGAGGGGAGGCCATATTGGAAGTCCTCAACATATACAGGAAATTTAATGGAATTCAGCCTAACTAAATACCACACCTTTATATAGCAAAGAGTCTTCTCACACTGCTATAGATGGTGAAATTCCAAATGTAACCAACTTTTGCTAGCTTGATTGAGTGCAAGCAGGATGACCTTTGGTTTTCAAGTTTTGAAAAAAATGTATTTGGCTCCTGTGAGATATCAACTAACCCATTTTCTTTAGCGGATGAATAATATATACATAATCTTTCAAGAACTACTATATACTTGAATCATTACAAGACAAGAAGCACTGCAAATGTCTTTCTTACACAGTACCTTTACTCAGCACACAGAACATCAGATACATAACATTGGCAGTTTAAATAGTGAACCACAGTTTACCTTCTCAAGGGTAAGGCCGACGTTTAACTGGCACATCCATTCATCTAATCAGTATGATGGAGACAATATTGAGCCACATATGGGTAGTGGCTTACCTTTTTAATGAAGCTATAAAAAGCTTTTGATACCCATACCTTATTAACCCTTTACTTAACTAAAAATCACAGCTGTGTTTAGCATTTTAAACTATATCTAAATGGGGAGGCAAGTAATACACACTTTCACAGCTACTAAAACTACACAGATGCCAATTCCTTCAACCCATTCTAACATATGGCAAAAAAGCAGGAAAGGAGGAAAAAAGCCCTCGTAATGAAACTCAAACTTCAAAGCTTCATATGGAATTCTAGTGCTAGTAACCAAATAGCCAAGACACAAACACCCAGCTCGGGCCACTAAAACTTCAATAGAAGCAACAACTGAGGCTAATTCTTGACTTTGAGGAAACATGCAAGCAAGATTCAGCTATAAAACTCAACTACTTCCCAATGCTTAGTGATAACACTGGACTCAAGCCAAAAGGAAAGCAAAGTGTGTATTTTAAGGACCTATTCTAGAATTTTTGTATGTAACCATTTTGATTTTCTGTAGGAGATTAAATGAGATCACAGCTTAATCAGCCTGCATTAAAAAAAATTAATTTGGGGATGTTAAGTTGAAATGGCAAGTTTGTGTCACACTATTTCTCCTCTTTTTTCACATTTACATTACTTTTGCTTCAAAGCTGAGTAGATGCACAGCATGACAAAGTAAATGATGATTCAATGTGATATTCAGTTAAGGTGAAAAGGGCTAGTGTAAATATGGATGACAATGGACAACCTCTTTCAAGTGTGAATGTACAGTTGGCAAATGTTGATTAAAACAAGAAAAACTAAGTACTAATGTCATGAAGAAACTATGGTATTTCTCCACCTTCACTTCAAAAAGTAACTGAAAAAGCTTTGGTTTCAGTTTTTGTTTTCCTGTCTAATAAGAAGTTTGAAGAAATGGTTCAAAAATGTAGTGCAGAAACCTATATATAAGCTATTTAAAGCACCTCATCAAAATAAACCCCAACTCTGGAGTAACAAAAAGTTCTTTCATTTGCGTATATCTATCTACTAAACAGGATTTGAATCCCAGCTTTCTAAACTAGGGGAAGAATAAAGAAATATTTTTATGACTCTAATGATATACAGTAATTCCACTGAATTTGGAAATAAGGCAGCTAACTCTGGGGGCGACGATTTCGATGGTACAGAGTAAGTAAAGAGAAGGATCTTCTCTGGGGAATCCTTTTCTACTGCAACATGATAGAGCCACATGCTCCTCGCCTTGTAACACTGTTTCTGCGTCACAGCCCTCCCTATCTTTTCCCCTCTGAGTGTCATACCAGCACCACACAAACCTTTCCCTGGCTCTGCATGGACAAAGGCCTGGCATTGCCCCTAGCCTTCTGCAGCAGGCTCGTACTGGAAAGAGCAAGTAGCGCTCACTGGCTTTGGCTTCTCTGAACTAGGGAGTTCCTAAATCAGGGTGATGTCTGTATCTTTCCCTTGTAAGACTGGTCGAAAAATAGAAGAAAACCAAAACTTCAAAACTTGATGTTTTTCCTTTCCATCTCAATTTATGTTGATGAGAAGAACAGATACAAAACACATCAAGAAAAATAAAAGTGGAAACGAAATCTTGCTCAGCCAGAAGCTTGGGTTGCATTGCTAATGATTTTAGTCAGTGTGACTTTGTGCAAAATATTCTCAAGAAGGCTCTGGCTCATTTTCAAAGTAAGCAAAAAACCAAGCAAACAAACAAACAAACAACAGCGTCAATGATGCAAGTTTGGAAAAACTTAAAGATGAGCCAATCACATGTGTCTATTTGTTATATACATGTGCCATATATAACAAAGCAAATGTAGCATGTGAATTGTGAACCTTTGGGAAAGTATTAGTGTTCTTTTCTTTTTTCTAAGTGTTGATCAAAGCAATCTGGTTTCAGAAGTGGATAATTGCAATGAAAATGAGCCTGAGATATGTTAAAAGGCCGCCCCTGTAAACATTTCCTCAAAGGGAACAGTAGCAGATGAGTATGTATCAGTTACTCATACTATTATCCATCACTATAGCAATGCTTTATAAAAGACAAACAGCTTATTTCTAGGCTGTCAGGGATTTATAGAATATTGATTTTGTTGGAAATAATTCATTATAATCCAGTCCTAGGTTTAAATCTGATCTGGCCTTTACCAGTGGGTATTCACTAGGTCTTCTGCTCTGCGGCTGTTGCAGTCTGTGAAGGAGCTTCCGGCTTCATGATCTGGTATGTGATGAGATATTCTGGGTATGCCTGGAAAGGACAGGAAGAAAAACAGATCACCCTTTTGGTAGATGCAATATTAAAGCCTTATTTAATGTGGAAGCCTCGGAGGCTGTTGATCCTAACCAATATTCTACATACACCCAAAAGTCAGTGACCTCCAATTAATAGGTGCCTGAACAATTAGGAGGTCTACCTACTTACCTGCATGTAAACATGTATAAATGTATCATCCAGAGAACTGTTAAAATATTATTTCCACTGTGAATACTATAAATTAGTTATACTGCATTCACCCCTCATTAGAGAGCCATGACATAAGCAGGAAAACAAAGGCAGGAGACAAAACTAATTCCTCTAACCTCACCTAGCATAATGCTACCCCACAGCATGTTGTGTGTATTCAGCAAAAGCTTGTTAAATGAAAGAATAATTTTGCTGAACCAATTTAAAATTATCACCAAGATGATGACAAACACTGAGCTAAAAGGAGGTTGAGGTGTGGTGAGCCACCAATAATTTAGAGGTTTTGGAGATCATTTTTAAAAGTTGACTAAGGGCAACTTTTACAGGAAAGATAATGACTCAGATTTAGAGCCCCTTACCATCCCCCCATGACCCCCTCTATTCTCTCTTCTTTCTTGTTGTATATAGAACCAAAGACTCAGTGTCTGGAATGGGAAGAGGACTTCTTGATGGGAAGAGGCAAAGGAAATCTGAGCAGAGGAAGTTGTTTTAAACTTAAACCAGAAATCACTATGAAGACAACAATAGGAAGGAAGGGACTCTTGAAACCAAGTACACAATATGGAAATCCTTCAACGCACAGTACAACATAAAAATAAAACAAGATACAATATTTCACATGGCCTGTGCCTGAAAAGTAGTATTCTTCGGAGGGCGAAGTATTTTTGGGGCTCAAAAGTCATGTGTTGAACGCTGATCTACAAATTACTTGTATGTGGATAAGTAGTACGATAATAAAGAGTATTAAAAATGAACTGTTTAATATTTGTAATATATAAACAAACGTGGTAAATTTACCGAATTATCTCTATCATTATATACCTCTAATCTTAGGAGGCAGAAACTGTTATGGCTTGGGTCTCAGTTTCCCTCATCAATAAATGAGAACAATAATAATACTGAGATTTTTGTGAGGATTAAATATTAAGATCTTACAATAACTTTGGTATAATAAGAATCTTATATGTATTAGCTATTACTGTGAACATTATTATCACTTATTAAAAACTAGTCTCAGTGGGATAAGGGCAAAAAACATATGCTTTGGAAAGTTATAAAGCCTCCACAACACTCACCCACAAGGCACCATTTTCACTCATAGTATTCTTTTCCAAAATTCTAGTGAGTTCTGGTTTGACTGAAACAAGGTAGTGGTTTTCCACCACTAGTGTATCTAGCCAATACTCATCTTTTCTGATTTCCCCATCTGAAGCTTCAATAACAGAAAAGTTTGTAATTTTATTATAACATGAACACAGCTTAATTCTTGAAAAAGGTTGTTTAAATGGCATTTTAGTTTTTAGTTATTAAAACAAGCTAGGTCAGTTAGGTACTGCTAATTCTGGAGTTGAGTATAAAGAATGTAGAAAAACTCAACACTGGTGGGAAAATGGAAATACTGATTTGGATAACCAAATGGTTAAAACAGTCAAGAAAATAATCTATTCACCATCCATCTAGAATACAGTAAAGTCCTCACTTAACATTGCTGATAGGTTCTTGAAAACTGCAACTTTAAGTGAAATGGTAAGTAAGGAAACCTTGAATGATATCATTTCATTGGCTGGAATTTTTTTTTTTCTTGTCAATGTTGTAATGAAATAACAGTGAATGAAATGATGTTATCTGAGCATCTGCCGTGTTGAACATCTACTATATGCAAAGGGTACTGGTGTGAGATATGGACCCTCATGTTCAGGAGGATAAGTCAGTCACAGAAAAAGAGGAATTACAAAATAACCTAAGCTGGCATGTGCAAAGTGTCAAAAATCCGCGGGAGACACCTCATTGTGTTAGGAGGAAATTTAATATCTATGGTATTTTGTATAACACTTTCTTTTTGCTTGCAGAAAAGATGTTCAAGCAAAGGACTTGGTAATGACAGTACTTGGTTTTTGCTAGGACATAATTTAAGGAGGTTCCTGGAGTGTACATTTGAGTCAGGCAGATTATTGATTCTACTGGCATAAATTACTTAAAGGTCCTTATCTGAGTGCTTCTGAGTCACATTGATTAGGCTATTGAATTGTTAACTGTTTGCAGTTTGAGATATTGATCAATTACATCAAAGTCCAGAAGGACTGAAGGGAAGGGAACTACTAAACTGTAGAATAGAGGGACCCAGGATAGACCAACAAACATTACTTCTTGTCAAGTCACTTTAAATTCATGCTGGCTGGAAAAGCAAGGAACTTTTTTTTTTTTTTTACTTTCTATAAGAAAATTTACAGTAACCACTTTTAGTAGTAGACTTCCAGGAATCTCTTAACTCAAATCCCTATGGTGAATATTTATTTATTTATCTTTTACATTTTAAAAGGACAGGTTTATTAGGAAAAGGAGAAAGAAAAATAGAGGCACTTGCATAGACACAGGTGGGCAAAGAGCTGCTGCTTGATGCCAAAATTTAAACTTAACTGCTTGCAGTGTACGCTTCACAGAGATGAAGAAGAAATATCATGCACTCTTAGATAATTTTGTACATTTAAAAACCCTTCTATATATATATTATTCTATAGTCTCCCATTTTTTAGGTTAAATAACTGCATAGTTCTTATGATCTCAGTAAAACAGGCTAAATTTCTAACAATCAATGACTAGGGAATACCTCTTTCTTTTTTTTCTTTCCTTTCCTTTGTTTTAAAATATGTATAAAATCTTACAGGATCCAAGAAATGGCCTTGGGATGAGGACCATAAACCACCCTGAAATTGTAAACAACCTCAAAATGTTCCTTATTGTCTTCCAAAGGATTTTTGTTCAAAAAAACCAGCTAAGAAAAAGCACTGGTCTAGCATGGAAACACCTCTTCTTTATGTCTGCAAGTCCAGTCATACTCATATCAGAACCATTTTTCTTTTCAAGTATAGTTCAGTTAATTTTTAACATACCTTTTTATTTCTAAGGAAAAACAAGTCTACTAATAATAAACAATATTCCTCAAATGTGTGTTCTTAAGGTGTTAAGTACTAAGGGTGAAGGATGATTTAAGGGGAATGGAACAAAAGCCAGGAAAGGAAAACCTCACCATAAATCAGGGGGAATTGCTCTTGGGAAACAACCTGATTAGCAGACATCACAGTTAATAATATCCATGTGGATAATAAGTATACCCGGATATGAAAGAACAACTATGTTACCCTGAGATAAAACAAATACTACATGCATTTCATTTTTCAAGGTTCTTTTTCCTTCAAATAAGAGCTGAACCACATTATTCTCGAGAATTCTTTTGATGTAAGACTGAACATATTATCAAGTCAAATTACTTGGGAAACAGTTGAACAGTAATTTTTAGAAATGTAAACCTATTATTATTTTTAATATATCCCTATTAATTCTTTCCATTCAAATATAAAATTATACTTAAACCATACATCACCTACAAAATATTGAGAAACATGATAAAACTGAAATTACTTATAATCTTAGTAACCAGAGATAATAATTATGTTTTGGTCACGCCGACGTCTAATGTATTATTACAGAAATGCATTTTTAAAATACAACAACATTTACCTAATCATTTACCTAAGCATTCTCTGTATTGACTAGGTTGCTTACATTTTTCATTATGATGAGACAGAGATGACCATCCTTACAGGTTTTTTTTTTTTTGGTAAGATCACCATGGATTATTAGTACATTATCTCTAAAAGTGGAATTACGAATGAATCAAAGTGAAAGTATTTTCTCTAGGATCTGGACTGTCTTACTTAAACTGAAAAAATCTGACAAATTTTTTTAAGATAGTTTTTAAACTTTTTTGAGAATCAACTGCAAACTTACACATTAAGTTGCAAAAATTAAAAAGGTATTCAAGACACCTGTATACCCTTTACCTATATCCATCCATGGTTAAGGTTTTATTTGCTTAACTTCTCCCTACCTATCATTATACTAGGCTGACAGACATAAACAGACACTTTTTTCCCCTGAGTTATTTGAAAGTAAGTTATATGCATTATGAAGTTTCTTTATCCCTAAACAACCCAGTATTTATTTCCTAAGAATACATATATTCTCTTACATTCTATTTCCTAAGAATATGGATTTGTCTTACATTCGAGCAACCTCATATTCCCATTTTGCCAGTTTATCTATGAATGTCGTTTTTCTTCTACTACAGATCTAATTGGGGGCAGGATAGTAAGTGAGCTGTCCTTGTCTCTTGGGTTTCACTTATTCTGGAAAGTTTTCAAACCTTTCTCTGTCTTTTATAATATTGACATTTTTGATAAATATTGTTTTTCCACACTTAAAAATAACAGAACATTTTTCATTATGATTAGACTGAAGTTATGTGCTCTTGGCTGGATTAATGATTAGACGATGTGCTGTGCCTTCTTAGACTATCTGGAGAGGCACACTCTATCTGTCTCTCATTGGGTATGTTAATTTTGAGCATTTAGTCATAGTATTGTCCCCCTTTTCCAATGTTAATTACAGTCCCCCCACCCCACCTCTTTTATAACTAATGGGACTATGCATATATCCTTCTTTTTATGAAAATTACCACCAGATAATTTTTGCCTGATCTTACCTTTACCACAGTGAGTTCTAGGTGATGATTTTCCTAATCCAGAACTCTATGCCTACCCATTGCTTTTGTCTTTCTACTATAAGCAAAAGCCATCCTTTCCCCCTTCATTTATGTATCTATTTGTTATTCATACAGATTCATGAATTTTGCCCCCCCCCCATTGTTTAAAATTTATCACTGTACTTATTTTGGCTTTGAATTGTTCCAGATTTGGCCAGTGGAAGCTCCTTCAGCTCTGTGCTCATCTCATGCTCCCAACATTTTTTGCAGGAAGCACTTCCTTATTTGATGGCATAACAAGATGGTCCATGTTCACTTGTTTCTTTCTATACTATACCAGTCCTGGGATTAGCTCCTTCTCCAAAGAGCTCAAGTTCTTCTAAGTTGGGAAAGGCATAGAGACCAAGGTCTGGACTATGTATGTTCATTGCTATTGGATTTTTTTTTTTGTTTTCAATGCATTGTACTGAGAAACATATGCAAATATATACACTCACACACATGCTCATATATACTGCTATACATACACCTATACATACATATATTCCCATGTGTATAGATAGACACACATGTATTAAAAACTATGAGTTCATATCAGTATTTCCAATTTCAGTCTACCCCTACAGAGTCATTCTTACCTTCCCCCATTCCATATCTATATGTCCTTTCTTCTACAGCAAGAACCCTAGCTCCCCAAATCAACACCAAACCATTCACTCATTTGCTCAACCCTATAATATACCTAAAGGAATTTCACTGCTTCCCCTATACCACAACCAATAAATCTGTTACAGGATTTGTTTCCATTTTTTCTTCCTACCCTATACCCCATCCTCCCAAAACTGATGGCATCTAGTAGTCTTCATAGGTTACTTGTAAATAATTTTTCTTTTTCTTTCTTTTTTCTCTTCTCCATCAGTGTAGTGAAGGTATCCATTTGAAATTCAATTCAGTTCAGAAAAATTAATTTTTGTTTTTAGACAAATCGGTAGACATTTAACAGTATTATGAGAGATAAGGACTGGATTGAAAATGATAGAAAGTTTTCCTGCTTGCTGACAATTTTATTTTGAAACCTCAGGCAGAATTTAATGCACTGTGGCTTTACAACTCAGAAAGCAATCATTCTATGATCAGAAGTACAGCAATTCAACTGATAGGAAAAGCCTGTGGCATTTCATGAATACACGAAGATCCATTAAATGGCAGCTGCTCTTAGCTTTTCACTGTCATACTGGGGCATGGGTACAGAGCATTAATTCCATACAGCAGGCCTCAAGAATAGCAAGAGATTCCACGCCTTTTTTCACAGTCTTTCCTTTATTTGAATTGGGCAAATTGGCTGACAGGTGACTGGTGGGTTCTATCTGTGAGGCTGATGTAAAGAATTTTGATAACAATTGACTTGAAGCAACTAATGTTATCAGATTATGTGGTGGACATTTAGTTAAATAGTTTTCTTTGACTCTTATGTGGTTTTGGTCTTCACCTTCTGTATCAACATGTTCACTTCTGGCTATGATTATTTGATGACCAACATACCTGTTCTCCTCTGTAGATGACATATTCTGCATACGCTAGTCCATTCACACTTGGCCTCCCAATAACCGAGTGGTGTCCTGGAGGGGCATGAGCCATTTTCATGGTGCTGAATTGCAGAAAGGATTTTCCAAGGGTCACTCTACAGAAAAGCATTTGTCTAAAGAAAAAAGGAAAGCAACGTTTTGTAAGAAGTTTTAAAACTTAGAATGATGTAGCTGTTAGAGTTTATTAGGTTTTTAAAAACATTTAACACAAGACAAGCTATTTAAATGTCATTTTCAAATTTATGAGTAAGACTGGGGTGAGATCTAATATATCGACTTACTATAAACAGCATGCTCAATAGTTACACTTGAGTTTATAGTCATTTTGGAGTGATTTAGGAAACAATCACAAGAAATATCTATCTGTAAGTGCTGACTAGTGAAAAAGTTACTAGAATTTTTGTGTGGATGGATGGGAGGAAAATGAAGAAAGTAAGCAGATGGCAGCAGCATCTGAAATTAAGGTTGGGTTTCTTGCAATGATGAAGCAAAAACTGGGATGAGAAAAGTGGCTCATATAGAGAAATTTTTAGCTTAAATGTATAGGTGGAAATTATACTACATGGGTAAAATGTGAATCGAGATAAATGTCAAACAGGGAAGAAAGACTGATTGGGAAGAAAGCACATTATATTCACAAGGGGTTGCTCCTAGATATCCAGGCAGTCTGCCGCCTGTTTTTGTAAATCAAATTTTACTGAACACTCATACATGCATTTACGTATCATCTATAGTTGCTTTTGTACTTCAAGAGCAAAACTGAGTCACCGTGGACTGCAAAACTTGAAAATACTTATTTTGTGGCCCTTTAAAGAAAAAGTTTGCTCATCCTTAATATAAATAATAAACATTTTAACTAATTAGTAAGACTGTCAAATTGTTAAGTGTAAATAGTTATTATTCAATCAAGTAGTTTATAGTAGCAAAGTCTGATCTTTGCATTATGACTACTCAGTGATATTACTTTGAGTCAAATTGTGCCAGACCAGTAGAGCTGGATCCTGTCTGGCTGACTATTTTAGTGTGACATCATGGATGACCCTATGGGATGCTGGCTTGGTAGAAACTAACCATATTCTCCTGTGGGCCAAAGAAGAAATAGTTTGGATCTACATTAGAGGGAGGCTTTTTTTTTTTTTAAATTATTATTTTAATTTTATATATTTTTTACATCATTTTTCATTTTTGTACAATATATGCATTTTCATTTTGGTTATAGTCCCCATACAATCCCCCCTCCCACCCCTCCCACCCCCGGCCTGGCCCATAGTGTGTCTCTGGTTTATAGTTGCTTGTTGATTGTGACTTTTATTTTATTATAATTAGTCTTTTTCCTGGTCCCTTATTTAGGTTTCCTAAATTCCTGCTATGAGTGAGACCATCTGGTATTTTTCTTTTTCTTTCTGGCTTATTTTGCTGAGCATGATTAGAGGAAGGCTTTTTGAACTCCATCTCTGCAGTGTGGCAGCACCTTAGTGTCCCTGGACTCTACCTGAGCAGTTGGCGGGGCCCTCTGCTCTGGCCACTCTCAGCCCCTATGTCACATCATGCTTGACCTGATAGGCTCTTGCCTCCTGCCTCTGCTACCTATCTCGGGGTTTCCCTGTAGCTATGGAGGCAGGAAGAAACGCAGTTCCAACCAGCTCATTAGGCCACTGGCTGTAGATGGGCAGGGGGAATACTAGTTCATGTCTGCTGACTGCTTTTTCTTGTGCAGTGTGGTGTGTTTTGAGATGCAGCAGCCTAAAATGTGGGGACACTAATGCTGACCATGGGAGGACTGGAGCTAGTGGATGAATTCATCTCTTTTCCCACAGTGTACTGTTCTGAGATGTAGTAGTTCATCTTGTCTCTCTAAGGATGTCTTAACGGACTGAGCAGTCAACTGCAGTTTTTATGAATCTGTGGCCAACTCACAGCCCAATGACACACTGTCTTTGCTCTGCCTCCTTCTCTAGTACTTCATTTATCTTAATGCCTTCACTTTTGCTTCCCTAGAATTGTACTTGCCAAAAAAGTGCTAGTCATAAAAATTGTCTGTTTTATATTTCTGTTTCCTAGGAAACCTTAGCTAAGACATAAACGTAACTATCAAATTTTAATGTTAATCCTCTTCTAGTTTCAATTTTCTTATTTGTTTAGGAGTTAGGTTTGAAACAACAAACAGAAATTTTTGCATGTTACATCTTGAGAACTTTTGTTATTAACCACAATGGACTTAATAAAAAGAGATTTCCTTCTGGATGTTAGAACTGCCAATGGTTTACACCCTTTGCTATAATGTAACTGAGATAGATATGTTTTAAGGTCAACAACTATAATGAATTTCATTTTCATGAGTCCCTTTGAGAGTCAATTGACCTACAGGAGAATTTACTAACTTAACTTAGCAAAAGTAATACACTTGGCTAAGAACAATGCAATAAATCCCAGTATTTGTAAACTTCAATTCTTTTGTATTTTTTCCATTGTCAGGAAGGGAATAGTATTTTATTTTACTGATGTCTCAGAGAGTATACTATAATTCTCTTCAACTTTTGAAATCCTTCAATTTAAAATCCTATTAAAAAGCTAACATTCATTTATTTACTAGTATTTACAAAGCTAATATTCTTAATTTGGACTTTTCAAAGTTTATATACCCTGCCTTAAAACATCAGAGTAACCAGCATTCAAAAAAGATAAACACATGCAATTTGCACCAACATGGATGGCGCTGGAAGGGATCATGCTCAGCAAAATAAGCCAGAAAGAAAAAGAAAAATACCGGATGGTCTCACTCATAGCAGGAATCTAGAAAACTTAAATAAGGGACCAGGAAAATGAATAACTATAAGAAAGTGAAAATCAAAATCAACAAAGACCTATGGGGGTGGGGGGCGGGGAGGGGGAAGGATTGGGGTAAAAATAAGGGGATTGCAATTGTATGGGGAATATAAAAATAAAATTTATTTAAAAAAATGCTATTATAGTTATAAAAAAATCAGAGTAACATCAGAAGCAAATTAAAGATAATATTTGTTATAGAAGTTGTGTGTCTTAGTTCAAATGTAACTAAAACTAGAGGTTATTTGTTCTACAGAAGTAATTCTCAATCTTTTCTTGAGAATTCTGAAGCAAGGAAAATGAAGCCCAGAAAGAAAGCCAAGACATAAGAAGTTTCACTGCGACCTATGACTGGCTGATGTAGTCTGGTTTCCACCACCATTGGTAGCAGCTCTGCTGTCAATGCTCCTGCCCAGACAGAGGCTGATCAGCTATTCCAACTTAACCCCCAAATCTGTCTGATTCGTTAGCAGACTTTTGCAGAGCCTGAGCGATGAATTTGGTTCACTACCTGAGGATATCAGCCACCACATGAAAGACAAGATACTCACCTGTGGCATATGTAACATGAACGATCTTTGTGTGTGGGGCAGCCTGTTCCTCCTCCAATTCCATAAACATACTGATTGCTTTTAGAGGAGTTTTCAGCAAAATAAATCCCAGCGCCAAACATTCCTCCTATGTATGCATGCCGTTCATCAAACCCTTTATGAATAATAGCATTAATGAAAGGAGAACCTAGAAATATAAAAGAAAGATTGGTTTCTGAACAGTTTTCTAGAATCTCAATTACTTGTATTTTCACTTGGTAGGTTAATATTAATTATAATGCATAAGTGAAAAATTTATTTTGTATAATGACACAGAAATTACTATGTATTTGAATCTTATCAGGGATCCACAGTGTCTAACAAGCAAGGATGTTGCATGGATTTTGCAGAAGGTATAAGATTTTTGAGAAGCAAAGTACATGTGGCATTGAAAATACAGATTATTTTACACTCAATCTTACTTTAAGTATGCGCAGATAATTTGATAAACTAAAACAATTATGCTAAACTACAGTAAAAATATTTTACTATCTAGATGGTTCAACTGGTAATGTAAGTTCTAAAACAACTCCAGATAAATTATTTTCATTATACATGCCTTGGAAAGTATTAATATATAATGCTTTGGGAAGCTGGTACCAACATGTAATTTTTTGGAAAAAATATCAAAACACACCATTTTTAGCACAATTAATATAATCAATAACACAGGCTTTTCATTTACTGGAATTTGCAAGCCAAGTGTGAGGCCTGTAATTACTGCCACAACATGGCACGCACCATGGAACAGCATGCGCTCGTTGTGATGGTTATGATTTTCCTCAGATACCTCCTTTTGTCTGTGACAGAATCGCTCTCTCAACTTCTTGTTGACAACTTTTTGAATCTTTAAAGATGAGCAAGAAAGAAGGAATTAGTGAAATATACATTCTTGACAGTTTATAATTTAAAACGAAAAGTATGTTTTCTTTTAGATAAGATTGGTTTTTGTATTTTGTTATCTTTGCTTAAAATATTATTTAAAAACAATAAAATTGCCAGGTCAGCATAATTCAGTTAGCACTCTGACTTTTTATTGACATAATTTTCAGTTATGGTTTTAGTCATTCTGCATTAGACCTGGTTATCCCTCAAAGTTAAAGTTAAAAAAGTTACAAAATAGGAGTTAATGTTAAAAAAGTTCTGACTCCTCTCCAGATTATTAAATTTAGGATTTAGGGCCTGTAAATGTATTTTTCCAAAAGGGTAATTCTGATGTGCACTGCATTAACTTTTCACAGGTCTATTAATTTAAGAGGTTCTTAAACAGTTCCCAACAGATTGTATTCATCTTCATGACATCCCTCTGAAAAAAGCAGACAGTAGCGATCTACCCCATATTATAAATTAAGGTACTGAGATTAAGATAAGAGTTAAATGTATTCTGATATAATTGCTAACTCAATTTGATTGAAAATCCAGGTCTTTCATGCTACTCTGAAATGGTGATAACATTACTGTCAGGGATAGTTCAAATTTGTGGGTGAGCTGAAAGACCCATTACCATATTTGCCTCACTCACACCAGCTGTCTAGATTTCTATCTGGAGCTTTGGTGTTTCCTAAGTGTGCCCATTCTAGTGAAGTATGGTCTGGTACATGGGTCAGAGATTCCATTATAGTGAGAAGGGCAACAGGCTATCCTTGACAGTCTGAAAATAACACTTTACATTTTTTTCATTGTCTATATTTGATTTTTTAAGGCAAATCTTGCAATCTAATATTCACCTTGAAATTTTAAAACTTACTCGAATGACATTGTATCTATTGAAGATTCCACCAGCATTACCACCATCTCTGTGTTCTCGAATTGTACTTTGCATCTAAAGAACAAAATAAGATAGTTAATTTTCTGAAAATATGCCAGTATATAATTTTAATTTTAAAGACATTCCTTTCATTGTTAGCAACACTAGGATTCTAAGACTAAATATACAGGCGTTCACTATAAATTGATCACCAAGTTTAGTGGAAAAGTATTTCTGGTGAGAAAACAGTTACAGGCATAAATAAATATGTAATATATGTTATACAAATTATAAATTTATAATTTATATTCATATAAAAGAAAACAATATCACATTAAATCATCTACATTACTATTTTACATTGTTTTTATGAGAATGAGAAACAACATTGTGATTAACTGAAACTAAATCTCTTCCATCAAAACACCATTGTCCAGCGTTGGTGGTATAGTGGTTAGCATAGCTGCCTTCCAAAACACCATTGTCCAATTGTTAAAAATAAGCATGAAGAATTAAAAAAAAAAAAATCAATACATTTTTGTGCCCCAGGTGGAGTATTCCTGATAATCTCTTTAATTTGGCATCTCAAAGTATACATACACAGAGGGGATGTTGACTATAATGTACAACTAAGTGGAATAACTGGCCTTAGCACATTGCTTATCCTTCTTTCACTTTCCAAATTAAAAAGAATTACTATGGAAAATATAATGTTTAAAAGTTCTAAGTTTCATATAGAATCGACTCAGTGCTGTACTTGTGAAATTACTACCACATTTTGGGTGTTATTATCAGATTTTACTAAATACAAGCAGGATGATTAGGCAATCAGACACTAAAAGACAGATGCTTTCTGATAACTGGCTAACTGAATAACTACCCTGAGGTACGGGGTTGAGTTCCTGGAATGGGAGTAACAGAAGCACTAATTAAAAAAGCAGGAAACAAACAAACATGTAGGCATATCTTTCTTTGCTTAGATATTTGCAGTTTATTATGTTTATCATTATTCTGATAATGAGATTAGGTATTTTATTATGCAAAAGAATCAATGTGTAAACCTCTGCATCTGTCTACAGGGAGGATCATACAGACAGACTTACTATGGGCTTTAAAATAATTGTGACTGGAAAAACAAAAGGTGACTCCGAGTTATGAGGCAGACTTCATAAACATGTAAATTAGGCATGTAATCACATTTTATAATTTTGCATGAAAATAAAGAAGAGAAGATATTTGCAATCTATGAGGCAAGAGTCTCACTTTTCATCATTCTTAAGAAACATTTCTAGCAGTTCTAGAAGGGTTCTTCCCTGCACGAGTATCAAAGAAAGTTTACAAAAGAGAAAAGACAGATATGGCCCACTCATTGGCAACCCTAGGCTTATGATGTGAAAGTAACATGTCATAGTGAGAATCCATAGTCCTATTTTAATTTCAGCAATATTCCAACACGATGGCTAAGGGAGAGAGAATAATAGAAAGTCAATGACCATAAGTTAGTGGAAGACAAGCTTACCTCCCCTAGAAAAATAGGTTTAACTACAGATTTCAGGAAAAGTTAATCAAAATTTCGGATATACGTTACCTCTTCTTCTACTGACTGATATTCCTTATCTTCTGGAGCAAGATCCAGCAAAATAGTTCCCTGATTAACACAGTGAAAAGTCAAGTAAGGATTGGTGCCTGTAAGAAAGAAAAATAACTTGTTAAACAAAAGTCCATACTAATCAGGCTTAATTTTAAGGGAAATTTTGTTATAAAAAATTGATAATTTGGAACAAGTCTAAAACATTTGCAATTTGAATGTAATATAGAGGTTCTATCAAACAAATGCATCTGAAAACAAGAGAGGAGATGGAGATGTGTTTGTGGAAAATATTATCTGCTCTTACAGAGTTCCTTGTACACACAGCAGGGCCCAAGAAATATTTGTTGAACTGAACTCGATCATGAATATAAATGAGACTATGTCTGATAAAGTAAAGAAGCGTACTAATTACAATGTAGTTAGGTCTGAAATAAAACATTATCTTCTAAAAAACAGAAATGGACTGATACGGAAACTAACAAGTTTTAATTATATTATTCTTGCTAATTTCATTATCCTTATTAATTTAATACAGATAAGTAAGCAACACTCAAGATTAAGACCTTCTAATGTTCAGTTTCATACACTCTTAAATGTTCTTGACTCTGCATGCTAGTTGAGTAATTCAAGTTGTTCCCTTACTCTCCCTCTTGCTTTACTGGAGTGAAAGTACTTCTACCAAACACAGAAAGGATAAATATGGAGGCATTTAAGGGAGAAAGACAGGAGGTTTGAAGGAGCAAAGCACAATGGAAAAAACCATGCTGACAGTTGTAAAGGAGGGAGAGGGGCTCCAGATGAGTGAGAGAGAAAGGTCAGATTGGGAAAAGATAGGTTGTGAATGTCTGCTTTTATCCTGAAAGCAGAAGACTCTACTAAAGGGTTTTAAATAATCAAATATGATCACACGGTCATTTTTAAAAGAGTCTTTTGGCTACAGAGTAAGGAAGGCACTGGAGGGAGGCAAAGGTGAAGGCTGGAGATAAGCTGGAAGGGGCTGTGACAGCCCAGGAGCGGTGACGGAGAACTGGATTAGATGATAGCAGTGGGAAAGGGCAGCAGTATAGATTCCAGAGATAAATTTAATTACAAAGTATGGGGTGAGAGGGAAGAATGATTCAGATTTTTAAGGGAGAGCAATTAGAAGGAGTGTGATGCTGGGACAGGGAAGGAAGGAAATGTCACACCAATCAAGCACATGAGCTCTGGGGTGGAGTGGCCTGAGTTCAAATGCCAGTCCTGACACTTATCTTGTACCACCAATTCCTGAAATTATATCCCCCCAACCCCCCGCCCCGCAACTGCCTACCTTGCTGTCCACCCAGGAGTCTTTCTACTCCTTTGATTAATTTGTGTCTGTGTCCATAAGCATTGATGCCTATTTCTTTCAACTCTTCATGACCCATATCAGCCAACACATCCAGTGTAATCTGAAAAAATGAAACAAAATAGACTGCTAAATTGTAATAGTTCCTCAGAGATGAACACTTTTCCATTAGTCTTCATTGCCATAAATTCCACCCAAAGTAAGAAAACTTTTCTTTCCTTTATAAGCATGATCTTAAAATTTTCTTAAAATTGTCTTAATAATCTTATCAGCTTTTTACCTACTTGAAACAGTCCTTAATTTGCTTCTAGTCAACAGTAAATTGACTAGAAACAACAGGGATATTGAAATAAACATGCTATATTCCCGTTTGATTATTTAATTCCATCATCTTTTGTTTGCCTCAAGATAGAAGAAGGAAAACCAGTAGCTTGAAAATGGGGCACTACCAGATTCCAGTACCTAGCAAGTTAAGAGATATGATTGGTAGGGGAAATTGAGAGATGTCTGGCACAGTGACACAGAATGTGTTGAAAGGAGAACACAGTCTTAGATAGCAGGATTCTAATGAGGACAAGGGAGAACTTGACAGTGCTAAACGTATAAGTATGGACGAGGTTACCTTAGTAGTGAGATTTTTCAGTTAGTATTTAGATTACAGACCATTTCTACAGAAGCTATATATAGAATTCCAATTTGGAGAAGAAAATAGTTGTTATTTAAGTTCTATAAATCTAAGATTTAACAATCTTTGCATCCTTAGCATACATTCTATTTTTGTACAGTGGACTTCTGAAATTTTGGTTATTCAGTTTTGTGGATGGAGATGATTTGTTAGCTAATACTATGATTCAAAATCACCGAAGTACTTTGTTGACTAAAAGTAACTGTGACTCTACCCCCACCCAGTGGATATGTTCTGAATTCACAGGATAACATCTTGAGGGAGAAATGGGACATTTTCCAGCTAAAAAGAAGCCTTGTAACAATTCAAATGCTACTTAAAAAAATTAGCCTTTGATTTTATATCCTGGGAAAACTAAGACATACCTTGATTATTATTCCTTTTCCAACTCAAATGAGGTATTTTTATTTTTATCTATTACTTTCTCCACCTTTTTCCTCGCCTTTAACACTTTTTACAACTGACGAATTAGGCCTGGAACTCTGCTGATTTTTATTGTCAATTCAGAGTATTATATAATGAGTACAACAAGTACATATCACTCGTTATTTAGAAATAATTATTAGATTACTTCTCAGTGGCCATTAAAAAAAAAAATCGCTCCACTGTGTAAAAAGTGCACATTTACTTCCAATCATCCAAAGTAATTTTTTAGTAAAGCTTATAAAAAGCATCAGTTCTGAAATATGTATCTTTGCGACAGATTAGTTGATTCAATTATAGAAGCCTTTACATTTTTAGCTAGATGTGATTTTAATATAATTTGGAACCTTACTGATATCCTAATTTTGTCCCTCTCAATTTTCTAATATTCAGTTCAAATTAGGCTGACATAAAAATGGAGTCTCATATTTATGTGGTAGACTCAAATTCAAAAAGAATCCTTAAGCTTTCTGAATGGATATATATAGTACTATCTGGAAGAAGCAGAAACCAGGCCAGCAAAACACAGTATTTTCTATGGAGTTCTAGAGAAGAAATGAGAATACATATTTGTCATTCTATAGCTCCAATCATAAAATGAATAGCTCATTTAATCCTCACAATGACTCCATGTGTTACTACTGATGGGGCTCAGACAAAAGATTAAAATACTACACAGAGAAGCTGAAATGTACTGTAATACCTGTCTTTCCCTTGTTTGTATTTCTTACAAGGGATGATGACTAGTAGAAAGTTAAAATAACTAAATTCAGTTGCTTTACATTATATCACAAGTTTGATGGATAAATTATATCTAGCACATATTTAAAATCAAATTTTAACAGCTAAACTAAATTATCTTGCTTTTATATAAAGCAAAAGCACTTTGGGCCTCCCCCGTGACGCAGTGGTTGAGAGCTGGGTTGCGAAGCTGCCCACAGCCTCCGCAGTGCTGGTTCGATCCAAGGCCTCCAGGCGAGGGTCCCACACGGCACGCAGACTTCTCCTGCTGCCCACTGCTCCCCTCAGCAGTGTACTTCGTCAGCCTGCCTGTTCTGTTCTCTGCTCTGGCTCTGGCTCTGGTGAATTCTCTCACCCTCCTGCACTTCTGACTTCTGACTGTACCCAGTGCTTGTATAAATGAATGGATAAATCTTTAAAAAAAAAAAGCAAAAGCACTTCAAAAATGCTGCTTCAAGAAACCCCACCAACTGGGAGAACATTTTTGCCCCAACACTAATGATAAAGGACTGATCACAAAAATCTGCAAAGAGCTGATGAGACTCAGCAACAACAAAGAAAATAATCCAGTCAAAAAATGGGCAGAAGAGCTAAAAAGAAACTTCTCTGAAGAGGAAATGCAAATGGCCAACAGGCATATGAAAAAATGTTCAACATCACTTGTCATCAGGGAAATGCAAATCAAAACTACCATGAGATACCATCTCACACCAGTGAGAATGGCATATAATAAAAAAACTAGCAACAACAAATGTTGGCGAGGGTGTGGAGAAAAAGGAACTCTTCAGCACTGTTGGTGGGAGTGCAAACTGGTCCAACCACTATGGAGAGCTGTGTGGAGATTTCTGGACCTACTAAACATAGAGCTTCCATATGATCCAGCAATTCCACTCCTAGGTATTTACCCAAAGGACACAGAAACATCAATTCCAAAGAACACCTGCACCCCTATGTTTATAGCAGCACTATTTACAATAGCTAAGCTTTGGAAACAGCCCAAATGCCCAAAAATAGATGACTGGATCAAGAAGATGTGGTACATATACACCATGGAATATTACTCAGCATTCAAAAAAGATAAACACATGCAATTTGCAGCAACATGGATGGCGTTGGAAGGGATCATGCTCAGCGAAATAAGCCAAAAAGAAAAAGAAAATACCGGATGGTCTCACTCATAGCAGGAATCTAGAAAACTTAAATAAGGGACCAGGAAAATGAATATAAGAAAGTGAAAATCAAAATCAACAAAAAACTATGAACCAGAGACACTTTTTGGGGGGTGGGGGGCGGGAGGGGAGGGATTGGGGTCAGAATGGGGCGTTTGCAATTGTATGGGGGAATATAAAAATAAAATTTATTATTAAAAAAAAAAAAATAAAAAAAAAATGCTTCTTCAGGAAGGACTGCTGCTTATTTCTAAGATTTGTTCATTTTATCTGGGGGTGGAGAGGGAAAATTAGAATTTTAATGAAAAAGGCTGTTCTTTTGTTTGGGTTTAAAAAGTTGCAGGGTCTGAGTAATGGTTATTAAAACTAACTTTATAATCATGTTCACAATGAATATGAATCCATGCCTTTGACTTTCAGAATTTAAAATAAAAACTTATGTATATATTTATACTATATGTGGTAATGAATGTTAACCAGTCTTTTTTATGAAAATATGATGTAGGTTGATCATAATATGTCCATGAGGACTCTTTCAAATCATAGCATTCCATGAGGACTCTTCTAAGTCATAGCATTTATGTTCCAGGAACTGCAATGTCAGTCACACTGAACTTTTCCATAGAAAAAAGGCATTTTCTATTCAGGAAGCTACATTATAAAGGGTGGGTCAAAGTGTCAATGGTATATTTAACTAACAGTAAAGGATACTGGTATATATATTATGTAAAACAGAGAGCCAAGCAAAGTGTATATGTTAAACCAGTCAAGTTAGTTAGGAGACTTGACTTGAATTAAAAGGGCCCAACATAAGTACCCTCACTCATCTCACTACACAATTATCTTGACAATCATCACACATTCCTGGCCTGATACAGATATATGGAAAAGTTTACAAAGTGCACTACTCTATAACTGAAGGCTAGTAACACAATTGGCTAAAAGAGTTAATTTGAATGTTTGATGATTAAAATTGTGTAGAAGAGAGTCAAGCATGGGTCAATACAAAGAAAGAGAACTATGCCAGGTAATACACATTAAATAGAATAGTCAATGTATGGACTATAAAAAAAGATACAAAAACTTTTTAGTAAAAAGGATATCAATGGAACCATTTACTCAGAACAAAACTAAAGTGAAAAAGACAATGACAAAACTAATGAAACAAGGATAAGCTGTTAAAAATAAGGACTATAGGACTAAACTATTAAAAACAATAAAATGAGATAATGAAATCCATTACTAAAGATTTGTAAGGTAAAAAATGAGAAAATAAAACATAAAATTATAATGTAAACTGATGAAAAAGTAGAAACTAAAGTCCTTGACAAACTCCCAATAGCTAACTGGAGTTGTCGTGTGACTTAGGGTCTTCAGTTTATTAAGCAAACGTATGAAATTTCATTAGTGTGGATATGATTTTGGAAGTTAAGTCTGGAGTTTGGCTATTGCAACAGAAATGGCTTTAGAATAGTTTTAGTACTTTCAGGGAAGGAATAAAGTAAAAAGATTCTATCTGTTTAGGATATTCTCACAAGAAATCTCAAGCAGGGTCTGGGTGAAGATAAAGGGAAATTATGTCAGTAATCTATAAAGTTTTCACCACCAGCAGAAGACCCAGCTGATGCTTCATTAAAGCATATTTTAAAAATTGACACAGTGTGACTGGGGGTTTTAGTTATCTGGACATTTTTGAAGGTATTGTTTTTTTTTTTCAGGTAAGGGGAGTCATAGGTTAAATGTCCTAACCAATGTTACACAACCAGTAACAGGGAGAAGATAATCAAAATGAAGGTATTCTTTTAATCTAGTACACGTCAACTGTTTTGATCACTAAGAACATTAAAGGTGAATACAAATCATGACATAAAGAAATTTAGCTTAAAAATTAAGAAAAGGCACTAGGAAATCTTACAAGTATAACTAAAATGAAAAAAAGCTGGAGTTTTTAATTAACTTCAAAGTGCCTATCAGCCTACAAAGAAACCATAGTGGGTCAAAGAGGACAGTGAGACGTTTAGAAACTATGTCCATATAAAAAATAACTGAAAATGAAGGTATATTTATCCTTAAATAGGAGGAACTTTATAGGAGTGGGCAGTTGGAAGGGTAAGTCTTTGATAAGGTGGTTAGGTCTTAAAAACATAGGAAGTCTATATTTATGTTAGTGAGTTGATTAGTGGCCCTTAAAAAGAGAGCTATCTGTTGCAACCCCCAGAACCTGTGAAGGACTTTATTTGAAAACCTTTTTTTGCATCTGTGATAATTAATATATAAAAACCTCATTTGAACGAAGTCAGGAGGCTAGAAGAGAGTTCCCAAGCACAAGTAAGCAAGGTACAGGGCAGAATCTAACTGAATAGGTGTGCTTGGGGAGAGTGACACAGCTGTGTTGCGCCAGAGGGAGTAAGACGTCTCCTTTTTTGCCCAGCAACAGCTCAGTCAGAATGCCATAACCCAGCAAATGAGAAAACACACCTCTTACCTCCAGTTTCCTCCAATGTTGTTTATAACAGTCCTTCTAAAATCTACACAAGTGTTCTTTCTTTTGTTCCATGGAAGCATGCCTGTGTTTTGCCATGAGATCATACTTCCTAACTGCTTTTCTGTGGTTGTTTCTGATTAAATATATTTTGTTGGTGAAATAATTGGCTAGCTCGCTGAGGGGAGGCTTTAAATTTAAAGCAAGTGTCCTTACAAAAAACACAAAGAAGAGAAGAGAGACACAGAGAATGCCATATGATGGAAGCAGAGATTAGAGAAATGTGGCCATAAGCCGAAGGGGCCCCCAATCACTGGACACTAGAAGAGGATGGAACAGATTCTCTCCTGAATACCTTATAGGGAGTGCAATCCTGCTAGAAACCTTGATTTTGAATTTCAGGTCTCCAGAACTGGAAGGGAATAGATTTCTGTTGTTTAAGTCATCAGTGTTTGTGCTAATTCGTTATGGCAGCCCTATGAAACTAATATAAATGCAGACTAGAGATTAGATTTCTGTGAAAAAGAGGGAAATGCAAACCTAAGAACAATGGATTACACAGGGTGACAGATTTTGGCACACTTAAAACTATAAACATTTTATTAAACTTGTCCAAGCTGTAACAAGTTATCTTCCCATAGGAATGCTAAAGGGGTAACCCCTATACCTGGATGAATGACAAAGATTTCTAAGGACCTTTCCTATTCTAAAATTTCATGTATATCAATTAACAATCAACTTAAACTCAGAAATTTATTAATCAATATTTAACACTAACGTAATAAAACCATACAGTAATAAGCTAAAAACTCATTATCCATATTAAATAAAATGACAAATAGGAAGACTTTAATTCATAAGCACTCTAATGATGACTTCATAATATGACCCTCATAGATATTTAAGATACATTTGAAAATAGACTAGGTCTACCTGAGTGTGTGGCTAATTTTTGGTGCAACATTAGACTGTAACTGGACAACAAGCAGCTTCATAAAGGGGCAATTTTTGAAAAGTACACTTGTCCAAATATAACTTTGTTTTCTAATTTAATGACAAACAAATCTTTGTTTCACAAAGATTTTGCTGAATAGTTTATATAAAAATTTCCCATTGGCTTTAAGGTAGAGACTAGTCACATCAGTAATACAGTGAGAGGATTAAATGTGAACATTTTTTGGAAAAAAAAGAAATCAAGGAAGATTATGCAAACATTCTTAAGTGGTGGTTTCATGGTCCAAGTTTTGACATGTAATAAAACATATGGAGATAGACTACTTATAAAGACACAACACAGTTAACAAAGACTCCCATCATCTGTTAGACAGTTTTAGGAAGAATATGAAATACTGGATCCCCCTGGCTGCTTTAGAGGTGTGCTGTGGTTTTTTTGGTTTTTTTTTTTTAAGTACAGGAGGGTGAGAGAATTCACCAGAGCCAGAGTGGGGAACAGAATAGGCAGACTGACGAAATACACTGCTGAGGGGAGCAGTGGGCATGGCAGGAGAGATCTGTTGCACCATGTGGGACCCTCGCCGGTGGCCATTGATCGAACCGGTGCTGCAGAGGCTGCGGGCAGCGCTTTGCAGCCCAGCACTCAACCACTGCACCACCAGGGGAGGCCCTGCTGTGGGTTTTAATGGAGGTTAAAAAGCAAAAAAGAAACAAGTGCCAGTTAATTATTCTTAATGTTTAATTAAAAAGTCTCAACTATAAATGAGAGCTTACCTGCTCTGTTTCAAAGATGTCCCGAAGGTGCTCAAGACCAAGGCTTTTTAGGAACTGGCTGATATTCATATCAAGACCCGCAACTAAAAAAGACAAATTATTAAAGCCCCTCAGAACAATTTTTAGACATCCAGAAAGGAAATTCTGTCACTTTTTTTTAAAACCATGGCTCTCTGATACCCTTGGCTGTGCAGATGATTTTATACAGCATAAAATAATCCAGAATATATAAACTGCATTCTGACATTTTGCATCATTTTTTCTAAATTTGTTTGAGGAGTAAAAGCAGATTTATCAAATGAGTAATATTTATATTTGTTGTAACATCACAGAGCATAACCTATATTTTCAGTGAACTATTTATCAGTTTGAACTGAAAATTCAAATTTACCAGCCACTATTCCTGGATCTCTGAGCTTTTTCTGATATTACTTCAATAATAAGTAGTTTACTGAGATAATAATGTTGGAAATGAATATACTGGAATATACATAAGAAAGAACACTGTAAATACCTAGGAGCTTATTTTATGAAGATGTATTTCTTGTAAAGTAAAATTTAAAGTAAAATTTCTTGCCTGTAAAATTTATAGTAAAGTAAAATTTCTTGTCTGTAAAATTTACAGACGGACTGATTGTGTGGTGTTGAATAACTACCAATAGAAAAAGTGAAACTCTTCATTTGAAAAAGGACAACAAAGAAGCATTCATAAGGTATACTTGCCTTCTCCTTCCTTTCTTTCCGCACCTGCTGCGCCATCCCCTGTGTTGGACGCTCCTCCCACTGCCAACTCCGCTAAGGGGCCGGTGAGGTTATCTATGCTGCTAGCAGCGGACAGGCAGGAGGGGGTGGATGCTGGTGAGATCAGAGAGGCACTCACTACAGTAGCCTGAGGTTTGAAACAGGTAGGTAAGGCCTCTGGGGGCATGGCATCTATCAACAAAGCTCGGATATCATCAGCCTGAGAAGAGTAATACAGAAAACAAAAATAGTGCATTTTAAAATAGTTTAGTTTTTCACCAAGGACCAAATACTTTGTGAAATTTTTCTTAATAATTGTCTCATTATTTCCTATGTTTTTGATCATTTCTTCCACTTTCCTTCTCTGATCCATAGCTCCAAAGAGTCCCAGCAGTTTCAATAGGTGGAGTGGAGAAAATACTTAATTTTTAAAAAAAACATTTCATCTTTTCAAAATCTAATGTACAGTGTTAAGACTAAGCTAATAATACTTTAGTATGCTTGAAATTTGCTGAGAATAGATCGTAAGTGTTCACGAAACGCTTCACACAAGTGTTCATAAAATCACACAAGAAAGAGTCAACTAAAAAAGAATGTAGATTACATTGATTCTTGGAAATGCTGTCTTAATTAGTGCAAGGTGTGCACACAATTGCTCATAATGATCACACATGAGGATATATAAGTTAAGATTTGAATAGAGTAAATAATATTTCACCTTTTTTTTAAAAAAAGCACATGCTGATTTTTAATCTCTTTTAGAAGTTCACAAATTCATTATATTTGGCTTATGCTTAAACAACATGCATGATTATTTAATCTGTTTCATTTTAGAAGTTTAATTCATTATATTTTTATGCTTAAACAACTAGAATAATTTTTGTTCATTTAGTTAGTGCACACTTAATAGTTTAATGCACAATTAAAACCTGGTGAATTATTAAAGGGATGGTACTTTAATTTGGCTAGCTTATCCATGAACTTTACAGTTTGTATGTATTTGGCATGCCATACCACAACAAAGGGTGGCATGTATTTGCTTTTCCTTGAATCTATCTGGGTTGCCCTTTACATTGCTATGATCAGGAGAATGCAGAACTGATGTTCTGAGGGTTTAAAGCCAGGCTTTCAGAAGACTGGCAGCTTCTACTTTTTCTCTTAGAAGCTGTCCTCCTTGCTGTAAAAAGTTTGGGCTAGACTACTGAGTGACAAGGTATGACCTACAGAGAGAGGCCTGTATGATGAGAGGCTATCCTAGACATTGCAGGCTCACCTGCAATGCACAAGCACAAGACTGTGAAAATAACAAATTGCTGTATCCTTCATTTAGTTTTGGTTAAACTACTAAGTATTTCGAGGCCATCTGTAACGCAGCAATAGATCTCGAAAGAGAGTGTGGTTTGGGAAAACATTTTTAGCTTAAAAAATTGCATATTATTTTAACTATACCGTAACTCCCTGACTTTCTTAAAGTTTAGGGAAGATAATGCTATGCTTAATTTTGTGACTAATATTTAATAACAAAAATTTAATTCTTGGTTTTAAAAATATTTCTATAGCATATCAACTCATTTTCCCATCTTCAGAAGAATCGTGTACAGCCCAGAAATGAACTTTTCTTTCATTATCTCATAGCCTCAGGTAAATTATCATTAAGATTAGTTGCTCTAGAATAATAAGCTAAATGTAGGAGGTGTAAGGTATTTTGCTAAATGTAATCCTTTGAGGACATATTCCAGATATATGTTTTTCTATGATTCATCTTTTCCCTCCAAGATAAGTATGGCAAAAAGAATTAAGTTTCTACTCAGTTTGCCTTAAAGAGTTTTAAATTGTATAAAAAACATGCACTTAAAAAAATTCCAGAAGGAGGGAAATTTGTCCTACTATGCACTAATAAAGGCCATCTGCTAAGTCCTGGAATTTAATGTCAACTCTGAAGGTAAATAAAGGTAAATATTTTGAAAGGAGGACTTACTGTTGCCAGATCTAAAGGTGTCTGCCCTTCTTGGTTCTTCATAGTTGGATCTGCACCGTGTGCTAAGAGTAGGGCACATAACTGTGTCCTTCCTTTTTGGGCTGCTTCATGAAGAGGAGTAAATGCCCACTTATCTGTAGCGTTCACACATGTGTTGTATTTTATCAATAGTGCTGCTATGTCCACATGCTGAAGAAATACAAATGGATGTGAGGAGTTAAGAATGCCTCTGTTTCAGTATTCTGATACTTAATAGATGTTTCCTCTAAAAAATAAAGTATTTTCCCATTCCTCTGCCTACATGCCTACATTTTGGGTTCCATCTTCTCCTGCCTGCTCTAAAGCCTCAATTTCACACTCTTTTATCCCACAATCCTTCATGGGCTTTAAAATTTTTTATTCAACCTTCTAACATAGTTAAGTGTATCTTAAAGACAAATACACAATGAAACTCATGCCTGATTCTAAGTCTCCTATTAAGAGTCTAATCTGTCTGCCAAACTTTTAAAAACAAACTTTCTATACCTATTGCTTTTTCTCATTGCAATCTAAGCCTACTTTTCTTCTAAGCCATTGCAATCTGAATTATTGAAACACTCGTCTCAAAAGAGTCCTTCTTTAGCCTTTGGGAAAGTAATATAACATAGCAAAACAGTATTTTACAAAAATTAGTCTAATTGGAGAAAATGTCAGAAGCGGAAACATTAATAACCTGGGCATGAGGTGATGATATCCTAAATTGATGGTTATCCAGAATGGAAAAAACTACTAAAAGTTTCGACATTGGCCCTGACAATATAAATATTACATAGCAATATAAATATAAAATACAATATAAATATAGCAAAAGGTGAAGAATAAGGCTAGGGATTCTGAGACCAGGCAGTTTTGTGACCTTATTGGGATTATGAATGAGATAGCATCATTAAAAATTGATTGTAAAACAAAAGATAAATATAGGTACCACCCATGTAAATATAAAAATCACTTAAAACAATACAAAATACAGTGATTTGTTTCCCTTTTTCAAAGGAGTTATGCTGAAAAGGATAGAGTAGTTTTACTCAGTTAACCCAAAAGCAGGGGATAATTTCAAACTTCTCCCCAGTAAGATTACAGATTATTTAAACAGTGTTTCTGATGATTAATTTTGTTCTACTCCATGTGTACTGGCAGAAAATAAAACTTGGTAGACTAATTTGCATAGGTTTTCAAATTTAGACAATTGAAGGAAAATTTGTGTACATGTGTAAAATAAATTATATAGATGATATGTATTATTAAACTTTCTTTATGTTGTTGAACTTGTGGCTTATGCTTGGAAAAAAACAATTACATGCTAATAAGTCTGCTGACAAGCATCTGAAAGAACAATAAACAGAATTACTACTCAAGGAGACTGAAAACACAATTCTTAAAGTCTTTTTAAATAGCCATACCACTAGAGCAAAAGCAGTAACTGAAATTTAAGGTTGACAAACACAATAAGTAAGCTACAACTCAGTTCTATACAATATATAAAATCTACAGAAAGAAACTGAACTCTGCTGGAATATTTCTAGGAAAGTCAATTTAATATGGCTCCAGAATCAAGCTATAATACAGAATGCTTTAAATGACCAAAACAAACAAACAAACAAACAAAACATAAAAAGACTGTGAGGGTCCTAATTTAATTTTACAGAGTTGGGAAGTAGAGAAAAGAGAAATGTGCATGGGCTCCAGTTAGCCATTTAATCGTTTAATGATATAATAAAATCCTCCCGAATGTTCTACATTTTAGATTTAAAAGCAATGAAAACTAAAAAAATTGAGAGAAAACTCAGTGAGAACTGATTTATTCTAATGAGATGATAGAAAATATATACTTCATGGTAGATAAATAGCAATGCCTTACATTTCTAAATAGCATAAATGTTAACTTTTTGTGTAAATGTATGTTAAAAAATAGCATAAGGCATTATAATACAAGAACACTAAATATGATAAAGCATATTACCATTAATGTAAACTTATGAAATCTGTGACTTTTATTAAAACTTCTTAAACTATGTTTTGTTTCTCTATTTGGAAAAACTGAGGTGGCAAGTTCTTTTATACAAAAAGGCTCAAAGACATGCAGACTTCAGACTGAGCTACCCAGAAGAAAAAGTTAAAATATGCAGCAAAGAAAAATTAACCAATAAGTAACAGTTTAAATGACTTTTTCTAAAGACAAGGTGTGAATTTATTTAAGATTTATTTTTATTTATGCATACAAGAACTGGGGTGTAGGCCAGAGGTGTGGGGGGTAAGAGGATTTATCAGAGACAGAGTGGGGAGCAGCGGGCGAGACAGGAGAGGTCTGCTGAGCCATGTGGATTAGCTCCCTGGCTGGGGATAGAACTCATATGGGGATGGAACTCATGCTGCAGTGGCTAGCAATAGCTCCTTAGCGCTGAGACTTTAACCCCTACACAACCAGGGAAGCCCCAGTTTAACTGACTTTATGTAAATTCTAGGTATCTCACATTATTATTTTATACCCAATCTACCAGTCATTTTCTACTATTGAAGTCAATTAATCTGTGTCTATTTCACACTGCTGCTGAGTTGGTCAAACATTGACTATTTTTAAGGCTGTGCAGTAAAACTGTGGCACAGAGGCCTTAGTTCCGTTTTACTCAGGATGTGAGCTGTAGGGAGTTATTTTATAATAGCATTGCCTTTTTATATTGCTTAGGGTAGAGAATGCCCTTTCCACATGCATGGTCATATAATGATCACAATATAAAGACGATCATAGCATGCAAGCTTTACTAAAAAGAAAACTGAAGATTAGAACGAATAAGGCATTTGCTGAAGACTGTGGGGTTACTAGAATACTGAAGGGTAGATCCCAGATGTTCAGATTCCAAGTTCAGGTCTTTTCATTATAACAAAACTGCCTGCAGGGTTTTGCTAGACTAAAATACAATCAATAGTCATGTCCTGATGAGCTGAAAATGGCAGAATATGATATTGGAAAGAACCCATTTAAACAGAGATCACTAGATAACACTATACGTAAACTACAATATTTTATTTCTAATATGGAAGCCTTTAATCCATTTAAAGCACTACAAAAACCTCCTCCACAAAACTATTATTTCAGGTTATGTGCGTCTTATTATACCATGCACTCAGGCCAGTTCAAGCAAAGCATCACTGGGATGAATACAATATAACAGTTTTGTCACTCTAACAGAGAAATGTGCACTGGAGTCCTATAACTGTACAAAAATATTCACCTAGTTTACAAAAACCATGAGTAAAAAGGTACTTTTGAAACATATATTACCTATATAGCTAGAGATAATAAAAATATAATTATATCTACCTTGAGGGAAACAAAGTTGCTTTAAAATTTTTAAACTGTGGGCAACATTGGCCCTTATATTAAATCTACTTACTAGCCGATATAAATACTGATTTGATACAGTTGCTGACAGTAGATTATATGGTACATGAATAGCAATGGATAAAATTATTTTCTAGAGCAGAGATTCTCAGTGGGGAGGATGACAGTCAACTGAGAATTATAATATGTCATGAAAGATGTTACTGGGGAAAGCACACATTGCACATGGTAAAAACACAGCAACAAGAAAAGGCCCAAAAAAGCTATTATGGTGAATAACAGTGCACAATCATCAAATCAGGTATTTGATTTTTGAATTTACAAGCTTAATATAAGAACTATCTGTCCATACAAGGCAAAAGTACCTGCTATAAACATACCGTGTAGCTTATTAGTATAAGGATGGGATGAACCAGGCTGATCAAAACCCCTACTGTGCCCTCCACACAGCCTGGCAAATTTCTGTTCACTTTTACCTCAGTAAGTAAATTAACGTCATTTACAAAGAGCTTATCAGTAGGGATGTGATGACAAACAGAATAACATACAAAGAGAGAATGAAACCAAAAATGCTCATTTTTCATTCTTATATTAGGATAGCAGGAGTTGTGGATAATAGTAAAATAAATTTATGAAAATGTAACAGTGGGCCTCTGGTCAGGAGACTAACTGCATTATACTTTCCATCAGCTAATGACAAAAGTGTGTCAAGGGAACATGAAAGAAGACAAGTTCAACCTGCACACTATATTACTAATTAGCCACAATTTTTTTCTCACATTGCCTTCAAAATGGCACATATGTGCAAAGAATAACATCTTAATACCCTTCCAATCAGTAGAATGAAAATTAGAAGGCAAACTGCTTATTTCACAATTATTTTCTTTTCCCTCTATGACAACAGGATAACATAAAAAGAAGACCATGAAAGAAAAAGATAATGGGATAGAACTTTCCCACATTCATAACGAATGGGATATATAGAAAACTCCACAGATCCATGTAAGTCTTCACAATTGGTAGTGTAGAGTTTTATTAGGTCAGGTCAAGAACTATAATTCTATTGCCCATCCCTATGCTTAGTAGGTTTATATAAAAGTTAACAGTCTGATTTAAGTTCTATTTACCATATCAGCTTTACGAACTTAACTGAAGCTCAGCAAAGGGGTTAGTGGAATACAATATGAAGGGAAGAATTATTTTAAGAAATGCTGAACACTACTCCCTAAATGACACATTTATAATTCACAGGGAAAAGGGTTATATATAAATACATGTAATATGTCAGCAGTAAATATTTTCAGTAGAAAATAATGTAGAAATTATTTCAGTAGAAATATATGTTGTACAGCAAAATTGTGAATCTTACATGAAAGGAAAATTAAAAGAGCATCTAGTAATTTTAACAAAAAATCAATCATCTCTGGAAAGATAACTTTAAATGATTCAGTTTCAAAATGATATAGGTACTAATAATATATTTATTAAATCTGATAGCTTTCAATTAATTTATAACACATTTAGAAGCATAATTTTCTTGTTTGTGCCATTCAAAATTGGAAGATTTGCAATCCTGAAAAGTATTCCCACTCAGATTTGTTATGTCAGAGGGGGTATGAAAAGATGAGGATAATCCCATTATGAAAACCCAGGGAGATGAGAAGAAGAGACTGTGGAAATCATGTTAACTAGCTTTACTTAACATTTTGTCATGCTTTTGCAAACCTAGATACTATCCTTATCAATAGTGACTCCAACTATGAGAATCCCTGGCATCTGTGGATTTTTATAGTCAGTTAGGGACTAAGTGGTTAAAGAGACAGGCATCTGAGCATTCATTTTATTCCTGTGCGATTCATCAGGTTTGAAGTGGGCCTTGGAGACTTCCAGGCAGGCAGTTCTAACAAACATCATCAAGGCACTGTAACACATTCATCTCCATGTTCCTTTCAGGTGGTGATTATAGTTACAGAGCATTGAAAGCATGATTCTGAACTTTCACCTTGGGGTTTGAGTTAATCATTCTAACTCTGTGAAACCATATATACCAATAGTTCAACCATTAACTGAATATTTTTTAAATACTGATGATAAACATAAGTCACCACAGGGGAGCTTTCTCCTGACTTTCAGTTTCTAAAATCTACTTGACTACAGCTAAGATTTATTATCTGCATTAATAAATATTAAGTAAGCAACTGTTACATACCTATTATTGCACTAGGTAAGTTGAAGAGACAAAAAATGCTATGAAAAGTGTGGTCCTGGGCCAAAATACAGTAAAGTTTAACTGGAAAGGCTAGACGCTCTAAATAGATTAAAACTGTGCTAAATGATGCTAAATCATATATATATATATATATATATCTCATATATATGATATATATCATATACTCACATATGTATATGTGTATATACATATATATACTTCATGCATATTATGCTTATAACAAAGTAGTAAATGCCAGTGAAGTTTCCTGACTTACCCCATAGGATGCGGCATTATGAAGAGGAATTAAACCACCTTTGTCTTGGGCATTAACATCTGCTCCATGCTCTAGAAGATATTCAGCTACTTCCAGGTTATTGTAGCCTGCTATAATATTGAAAAAAAGGCAAACATGTCAGTGTAAAAAAAAACCTCCTATATATTTATATATATATATATATACACACACACACACACACACACACATATACATATACACAACTCATGGGAGGAGAATATTAAGGTTTTAATACTTTTTGCTGTAAAATCTAGTATTATCACATAATTAAGAGCTTTTCCAATAAGAAATTATATAAAATTATATTCATGAAAAGCACTAAGTATGGTCAGCATTTCTCTCATCTTTTTATAAACAGTATTATGTATCCAAGAAAGGACAGCCAGACTTGGAAGTGCTGGGGTGCTCACCTGCTAGGTGCAGAGGAGTTGAGTTTCTGCCCTGGGTATCTCTACAGTTGATATTTTCTGGAGTACAGAGCTTCTGCACTCTTGCCAGACATCCCTTCTTGGCTGCATCCAGCAAGGCAGCATCTCCTCTCAGTAAGTCCTGAATATCGGTGTCTCCTTCTTTTACCAAATCTAAAGGTGTGTTTCCATCTCTGTTCTTCTTAGTTGGATCTGCTCCATGCTACAAAGAAACAAAATCCAAATGGCATTTTTTGAAGATTTGACATTTTCTATAGTATCTTTTAAAAGATTTAACATTTACTTACATTAGTATTAATTTTACATTCACTAATCCAAGGATAGATATCTATTCTATATTCATTTTGAAAAGAGAGGCAACATCCTGCTTTAGTTTGCAAATTTTTCATTTAGTAGTATAACTACTTTTCAACCAAAGTCCTAAGCCTGAGATCAATGGTAAGGGAAGCATTGAGTTCCTTTCACTGTTAATATATTTTCTCAGCTTCCAAACTATCTTTGGAAGTTTCCTTAAGAATGGCCTGGAAGTTAATTTTGACCAGATTTCAATTGCATAAAGATGCAAAGATGAGGGAAGAGGAAGACACACAGGTGGAGAGAATGCCTTAATTTTAAATGTAATCATGATGAAAAAAGTTTGGTAGTTTTTAGTATTTTTACCACAAGTCTTAACACTTATTATGAAATCAGATATAAATGTTACTAACAACTAACCTGGTTTTAAAGTAAATGAAAGTCAAGATAGCGACTGCCATTGGCCCACTGCAGAAAACAGATATAAAATAAAGTAGACAATGGGCTCAACTGGTCTGGAAGCTGTTTCTTACCAACTAGTCATAATAAAAAACAGTATCAAATACAGTATTATTCTAGAGATTTGAAAGAACATATTTGATACCATAAAAGTGGTAGAAGAATTTTGATTTAACTACATATGTTTTTCTTTAGTTAAAAAAAAAGGGAAAACTCAGTAAATCCATGTCCAGTGATTTTTCACATTCTGTAATTTAAAAAGGGCACAAGTTATTAAGGAGGAAAAAAAAATCAAACTTATTCTTTAAATATTAGATAAGCAATGCAAAATAATGCAACTCTTTCCAAAATCTGTGTTGATGAACTGTGATGAACTAAACTTAATCAAATCAGTTCAAAAGGCACTTCAGGCACTTCTCAAAGTTATATAAATATCATGATATCACACTTAAACATCCCTCTAAAACAGATAATAGAAGCAGTCTCTACAGCATTTATTGAACTTAACAGAATCATTTACTTTGATATAATTTTACATATTAACCCCCAAATAAATATAATTATCTTATATTTTGAAAATTACATACTTTTAAAAGGAGCTTGCAGATTTCATATTTTCCTTTAGCTGCTGCTTCATGTAGAGGGGTAAATTTCCATAAGTCTGCCACATTGACAGAAGCCCCATGCCTTACTAAAAGTTCAGCTACCTCATAGTGTCCATAGGAACAGGCATTATGAAGGGGCACCAAGCCACTAAAAAAGAAAATTATTTCAAAGACATATAACAAATATTTGAGTTAAAATGATTTCTGTAATAAAAATAATGCAATTCTTCTAAGGCAATGACTGTACTAAATACTTAAAAAAATAATTCTCTGATCTTAAAGTTATAGTTATCCATTTCTAAATAAGGATTAATAATTTCAAAAATGTCCCTTTTAATAAAAAAGGACTTTTCCAAGTTTCTTGATGATGGATATAACATTTCACAGCAATCCTTTTCTTAAAATATATATATATATATATATATATATATACACACACACACACACACACACCACAGAAAAAGGTTCTATCACAATACTTTAAATTCAAGTTTTACCAGGTTGCTACAAAGAGCAACTCTACAAGGTGATTTCAGGAAGAAGTGATCAGTGATCTGGCTTTATCATCTCTCAGAATAAAAATTGTATGTTTACCTATAAAATGTACAATACAATTTAACTTCTTTATTTAGGCAAGTTCTAACTTTCACTTTTGGTTCTTAATTCCTACCAATTCAGTAGTGGTTTCAGTGTATAGTTTTAAATACTATACTTGACACAGGTGTCAAGAAATGAAAACTCAAATACCAAATATAGAAACTCCAGCACTGAGGAAGGAAAATATTGACAACAATTATAAATTCTAGTCAGATGAGAAAATCTAGCTGCCTCAACTTATAAGCAAACTATTCTGAGTTAGCTCAGTTCTGATTAGAAGGCATACTAAAAGGAAAATACATGTCATCCTTTAAAAAAAATAGTGCATCAAAAAGAATAAACTATATTTAAGAGGTGGCAAAAATAAAATATTAAGTACCTTTTTATTTGGAGAGATCAATACTTTTTTTTTTTTCCTTTTTAATGTTTTGAGACTAAATATGCTAAGTGCTAAAATGGGCAATAAGAACAAATGTTGGTTACTCCCCGATGTACTACAATACTTTCGAAAGCTAGTGATATTATTATTAAATATTCATGTCTGATATGTTCCTTAATAAATCCATAATGGCTAATTAAAGCTTACATTGTGTGGTTTAATTCTATAGTAGTCTGCTATGTAAGTGTACAGGAAGGTGCTTACTTGTTTATATTTTGGGATGATGTGTAATTAGCTCAGGATATGGAAGCTCATTTCAGCTAAAACTTCCTTCTTGTATTTCTAATAGTTTCAATGGCTATTTTAAGTCTTGTCTAGACAAATTTAAAAAATTTAGTAATCTGATACAAAAATACAGATGACCTGAATTAGCAAAATTAAATTATGTTTCTATTAATACTGATGACTTAGGGATGGACAGCTTCTTTATGGACAACATATACATTTTTTAATAGCCAAAAAAGGGCACGGATGAACAAATTACAAACTAAATAAAAACATTCACACAATGTAATCAAACACTACATATATATATAAGGGTGAGATAAACTATTAAATACTGATATGGAAAGACAAATATACTACTGGATGCAAAGAAAGCAAATTGCAAAGTAGACTGTACAGAAAGGCATCATTTATTATAGAATGGCATCATGTATATTAAAATCTATTAATCCTCGTTCCCCCGCCCCCATTACCACCACCACCATCACCACCACAGTACCCACAGTGGCATATGCATTTAAAAAGGTTAGAGGATTACAAAAAAACTTTAATGTTGCAATCTCTGGGAAGTGGGGTGAATGGGAACTTCTACTTTCATTTTTGTACCTTTCTATGTTTTGCTTTATGGAAAAAATCTAAGACTTTAAAATATCATTATTATTATTATTTATTTTACTGTCCGAAGAGAATGAATCCCAAATAGTTAAATTCTAACACATACCCTTTGTCTTTGGCATGGACATCGGCACCATGGTGTAGAAGGTACTCCACAACAGACACACGATTGTAGCCTGCTGCAAAGTGTAAGGGTGTAGAATGCCGGCCCTCTAAATCTCTGCAATTCACATTTTGAGGGCTGCAAAGTTGCTTTTATGGCACATCACAAACACAAAAAGAACATTAATATTTATTCACAGATTTGCTCGAAAGTACTGCAGACATCTTGGATAAATTATAACTTTCTAATGAATATTTATTACCAAAGATTAGATAAAATAGATAATTTAAAAATCAGTACTCTGCTTGGCTTTACATTGTCTACAAATGGTCTTACTGTTCACAGAGCAATTTAATATTTTCAACATTTCCTGGCCAAAATCCATATCAAAAAGAAAAATGCATAATAAAGCAGGTATTTCCAAGATAAATAATACCTTTCTATTTCATCTTATTCACTTCTCCTGAGACTGCTCATCACAGGTTATCTGCTTATACTAGCATGCTCTTAACCATTCTTGCTTAAATAATACCAACATTTCTGGTGACTGCAGAAGTTCCCAGAGTTCTACTCTCCTTGGTAGTACATTAAACAAGCAAAAGAGCTCTGGAAAATTATTTTAATGTTGCCTGGGCCACCCATTTGGCCCTTTGATACACTACAGTAAAGTCATGCAGCAAAAATGCTTTACTTGATCTTTGGGAGGATGTATAGCTTCACAATTCAAAATTACTCTTACATATTCTAGTTTCGGTCTTCCATCTCTTTCAGCTATGCCCTGCAAATCTCTTCCCTTCTCCTTTTCTCCCTTTTATTGCTACCATTTCAGCATGAGCTCCTTTTAGCACAAGCAAAGTAGTAGGAAGTAAAGTAAGGACTGACAGGCTGCATCACTGGTGGTGACAGATGAATTACAATAATTTGGAATAACAATTGATAATTTATAAAGAATTTCATATTCTTTCAGTGGAAGACTTATTATCTGTGAAGTTGATATTATCTCCATTTTACAGATAAAAAAACCAAGGCTCAAAGAAGTAACTTGCCCTTTATTCATATAGTAAGGGTTAATCTAAAGATCCAAACCCTGCTTTTCTGACTTTTAACTTCTTGATCCTTTTGCTATATCACTGCTTACTTTCTTAATTACCCCAATTCAAGGAGTGATGAAAAAAAGAAAAGTCAAATAAAGCCAAGAAAAAAAATTGGCATTTTCTAGGCTACAAGTTATGATGGCAAAGGCATTTGACAATCTTTCTGCTATTGTTGCCACTGTGATGAACTATTGTTACATACAAACTGAGAACTGGGAAGATCTCTAGTTCTATTGGTAACTGAGTGCGGACTTCCACATTGGTGAAGTAAAAACAGAAATTTCCCAGAGGCACAATTTTCACATGACTGAAGGAATCTGGGTAGTAAGTACAATCTCCTAAACTCTATGGAAAAGCCTCAGATTATAAAATCTGAAGAGCCATTTTTATCTGGCTAGGTCAAATATCTTATTTTCTTGATGACAAGTGAGTCTGTGGCTACACTAATACATAGCAAAAAAATGAAAAATATTGAGAGTAAACACTTTCAATGGGATCTTACATGATTGAAATTGCTCCCTCTTGCTGCTGCTTTTTACTCTAAATTCACTTTATTATTTTACTTTTGCAGAGAATATTGGCCAAAAAAAAGGTAGGTTATGAAACACAACTGATTTGACAGGTTACAAAAACAAAGTCTACTCTACTTAGTACATATTTGTTTTCTGATATTTGGAAGTTCTTTATTCTCTCTTCTATTTCACTTTTTGAATGTCAAAGCAATTTTATATCCTTCTTATCTACATTTTGTAGTTTCAAACACTTTACTCAGCAAACAGTATTTTTTTTTCTAATACCTCATTTCTAATACTTTCTAAGTCTAGGGCAAAAAAATTCACCAGGCTTAATTTTCACTTAATTTGAGCTTTGGCCTTTGTTTAGGATATCTGAAAATTGCAGTATATTTGCCTATTTTATACAAAATTTATGGAGTTAAAAGTTATACATTAAACTAAACTATTACTTTAATAGAAACATAACAATTCTAGTGCTGAGATTATCATGTGATCTAGAAAAGGCATACTAATCACTTTTATATTTAATAGTTTTCTTTTTTTATTAGGATATATTTTAAATGCCAAAAGCATATGTATAAATTTAGATCTTAGAGAACTTTAAAATTTCTCCCTAATGGGAGAAATTTCTCCCTAACTTTAAAATTTCAGTGATAACTGAAATTCACTATTTTTCTTTACATAACCTAGACACCATTACAAGATGGAAGAACAGTTGGAGGTGGTCACGTATTGAAAGAAAAAAAAATTTCTATGCAACAGAGCTGGAAAGTGTTTACTGTAATTTCAGCCAGTGTGTATCATCAAAAGCTCAAATTAATTTGCTCAAAATCACAAAAACAGTTTGGTTAGAATTAACAAAGTTTAGTTTGTACAAAGTAACCTGGCATGACTGTCAATACCAATTTTGCAATTAGACTTCCTTTAAAAAAATAAAAACAAAACCCTAAGACTAACCCCAGATAAAAGCAAAAACCATATCCCGTTTTGTTATCTTTATTTCTAAATGAATGATTACAGATGGTGTGCTTTAAAAGAGCATATTCAATATTAGAATATAATTTTACATTTGAAAAAAAATTAAATCTACAAACACTGTTTCATTGAAAAAATTTTCTTGGCAAGCAGAATTCCATAGAAAAGAAAATCCATCTTCTGCATATAAGTAATTCCAAATGGTTGCAGGATCCTAAGAATGCTTTTTTTAGAGCAAATGTGAGAATCTCTTGGGAGAGTTCAAGGAACAGTGTTCCAAACTTTATTGTACTATTAGTACGTAGGTTTAGAAATTTAAGAATGCAGTCAGAAATAACACTTTAATTCATTTAACACTTTAATGTAAGTGGAAACAAAAGAGCTTTCATATAAATAGAAGAAAAGTGACTAAAAAGTAGTTTAATGGATAGAAGGAACTAATGGATAGAAGTACTAGGAGCTCCTTCATTTTTAAGATCTCTCCTGCTTATGAACTATTGTGCTCATCTCTTTTATTGTTTGGATTTAAGTAGTGTTACTTAGAAGCTTAAAATCAGTTGGCTAGCAAAGGTTGAATAATGCCACCTAAGACATTAAAAGCACTGACTTACCTTCACAGTTTCCAAGTCTCCAGCTTTAGATGCCTCTAAGAGTCGATAGTCAACATCAGAAGTGCGCATAGGTGTACTTTCTGCACGAGAGAAAGGAAAGATTACTGTTGGTCTTTGAGGAATTACAGAGTAGTTAAAGAGGAAAAATTATTTGTTGAATGGAAAGGAACAAAAGTGGTCTGAAATGTCTGAGATCTAAGATAGCATATTTTCCTAATCCTTTTCAGATAAGTTATATAAGTAGTTTTTTTACTTATAATCTACATCTATCTGACACTAAGCCAAATGAATTCTAAGACATACAAATCCTTCTGCAGTCCTATGACTTTGTCCTTCAAATTTTATGATCAAAATTTGGCAAGGACAGTGAAGAAACACAGAGTCATATCAAGAATGTCTTTATAATACAAAGTGCCTTACAAAGTATTGTGGCAAAGCTTTGCCACAGAATTTTTTATGTAAACCTACGAAAGGGACTCACGTTTCAGTACTTTAGCCTTTCTTTTGGCCTCAATTTCCTCAATATGAAACAGAAGCACTACTTCTGAAGTCAGTGATCTTAGATAATATAATCAGTGTACAAAAAGACCTATCACCTATATATATTTGCTTAATTCACATTTATTAAATAGCTGAGGGAACTGAAACTTAAAATATCTGTGTAACTGGGAGGTATGATACAAATGCTAAGTAGAATATAATTAAATTGAGCTGTTAAGTCTAGAATTTTAAAGCTAACAAATGATGTATTTTGATTAACCCTATAAAAATTCATTACACATTGTCCCAAATAAAAAGGTTTTTCAAGAAAACAATATATAATATATCACTCAAAGTATGATGATGGACATTAACTGTGGCTTTTATAATGCACATGTGCACACATGCTCATATGAAACAAAAAGACTGAAGACTCAGACTTAGACTGGGCTCTATTTGTGACAATGGACAACTCACTTACTTAATGGTTTCACTTTTGCACCTACACAGTGTTAGTTACCTTTAAAGACTCTCTTTCAGACTTAAGACTGCATTGTATCTTATGATCTTAGACACCTTTCTTAAGTCCACTGTCTAAACAAGATCAAGGTTTCAGATTTCAGAAGAAATCTATAAAAGTTTTTAGATTTCAGAAGAAATACTTTTCAGTTCTTTCTAGTTCAAGTGCTTTGTTCCAGGGGAGTGGCTTTTACAGAAAAAGTTACAAGACAAACTATATTTATTTGGTAATAATAACAACACTTAGATGAAATAGTAAGATTAAAGGGAGAAAAGGAGAGCTTCATTAATGAAGTACATTTTTGAAATATAACAATTATTTTTCTGTAAAAGTGAACTCATTACATTTGTTAGTTTGTGGAATTGTTGAGGAAAGGAATCAGGTCTTGTTCATCTTTATATTCCTTTTCATAAAGAGAACATTCAGAAGGCATTTGCTAAATTTACTTCAAACTATTTTACACTGGGGTCAATGTATATATCAACTAATAGCTCTATCTTTGCCATTATTCATGTTTCCTTTGCTTCCCCCCAACTATGCATGACATTACTGCATTTATAGATGAAAAGTCTGTATGTATGTAAAATATATCTATGACAGTGATTGGGCAGTTAGTGAAAACCTAGAAACATTTTATCTATAGGAAATATTTTTGGCTTATCATTTCAGCAAAATAAAATGTTATTTGTATATAGAGTTGTTGGATCTTTTCAGATTCTAGAATTTTAGGAGTATAACTAGCATGGTTGAAGTTTTTAATTCTAAGAACTATTTGAAATTAGCACATTTACTTTGATGCAGACTGATTCCTTACAAAGGGTATAATTTTATAATCAAGCAAAAAATTTTATGCAAATAAAAGGATACGTCTAAAAATTTAGAGAAAATCTTAGTTAAGAAGTAGAAAGTAGTTATTTAAAGATACTGACTAATTACTACACAAATTAAAGAACTTTGCATTCATTATAAACCCTTAACATGGTTAGAACAGATTCATTTTAGAAACAATGTGAAGAAAATATTGACTGAAAGGATATAGCCAAGGACATTGCCCAAGAGATGCATAATTAAAAGAATATAAAAATGAAGTTAAGGGCCTTCCCTGGTGACTCAGGTGGTTGAGCCTGCTGTGACCAGTCTGTGAAGCTATCTGCAGCCTCTGCAGCACGGGTTTGAGCCCAGCCGGCCGGGGAGATACCCACATGGCGCGGCAAATCTCTCCTGTCTTGCCTGCTGTTCCCCTCAGCAGTGTCTTTGGTCCATCTGTCTGTTCTGCTCCCTGCTCTGTCTTTGGTGAATCCTCTCACCCTCTAGCACATCTGGCCTGTACCCCAGTTCTTGTATGCATGAATAAATCTTAAAAAAAAATGAAGTTAAAAGGGGATCATAAGCAGAAAAGTAGCTGAGATACAAAGTATTATATTAGTAAAATCCTTTCTAAGCACACTGGCTCTGTAGAGTATAAAATTAAAGATTTCATCTAGGGCGAAAGGCTGGAAATAGGCTTCTAACTTTTTCTTCAGTTTTATTCTGGCTTACCAGAATAAAATCAAAAGCAAGCAAGCAAACAAAAAAATCTAAAGTCAAAGGCTGGATATCAGATTGCTATTTTTAAAATGTCTTATAGAATGGTTGTTTAAATATTTGACAAGAAGATGGCAATGGATCTTTCTGGGTAACTTCAACATGTAAGTGCAAATGGAGACATCAGTGTTTAAATTAGCTATCATAAGTCCCCAAATCTTTACTTCTATAAATAATTAGTAAAAGCAATGCAATAACACATAAGAATATACAAACAGAAGAATTTGGGTCAAGATCTAGTCTAAAAGCACTTTTCAAAAGAACTGTCTGTGATACAGGAAATATTCTTCATTTTTTCTATTTAATATAGTAGCCACTAGCTATATATGACTTCTCAGTATTTGAAATGTGGCCAGTACAACCAATGAACAGATTTAAAATTTTTACTTAATTGAAAAATTTAATTTTAATTAATTTAAATTTAACTATATGTAGTTAATATCTGCCTTATTGGCTAGAGCAGATATGGAGAAAGCAGATCTAGAAAGAAAAGTCTAATCTGAAATTGTCTTTATTGCCAACATCTTACAATTAAAGCTATATTACTGCAAACTATTGGCAACCTGCAGACTTGGGGGATAGAAGTGTAGGCTTCTGAGAGTGGATCTTGAACCAACACTAACAGAAACCCAACAACTTCCTACATATCTTATGAATGGTTGATGTACTCTTTCAGGAATCATTGTAGTTATAACCTGGAATTGGATTATTAACTGTAGGTATAACTGATAAGTTCAGCTAGGTAACAGTTCACAAAGTATAGACACATAAGTTATTCATATAAATATTACTTTGAAAAATTATATCCTCTTTCAAAAAAGAAACAAGTCCCATTTAAAAAGTCTCTCTAAAGGCAAAACTTTACCATATAATTCTTTTATTTACATTAACTTTCCAGAGAAATAAAGAATATGAATCATTAAACTAAAAAGTTCTGGCACATACTAAATTAAGCAATTAATTTATCTATATAATGACTTATCTTACAAATCAACTTTTAAAAAGAATCATCAAAATAACTGAAAACTACTTAACTTGTGATACATTCCATTTTATCTTTTACAATAAGTCATAATTCCAACTGCATTCATTACAAGACATTTTAAAAAGCCTTATGGATGTAATCTGCTTAATCAATCCCTTGCCCCATTGTCAATTATCTTTAAAAACTGTGTGCTACTTTATTAGAAATTTTGATGTAATAGTTGTATATTTCTGTGATTTATAGTTACAACTTATGGAAACTAACTTAAAATTCAAGACTAAATGATTCTCAATAAAAAGAGTAACAAAAATTTAGCATGTTCTAACTAAAATCACATCTTTTAGAAATTATTAAAATTTACTGAAAAGGCAGAAATATTTCAGAGTCAGGGGAGTATCTTTTTTAAGCAAATGATCTATTGCTCTTTAGAAACAGTAAGTTAAATGAACTCAAGTTAAAGCTTCAAATCTTATAACAGGAAATTTCTTTTAGATAGATCTTAGTTCTTTCTGATAGTGAAGATACTTTAGAGACATCTTGTTTCACTGTCTTGTTCACTGTGTAAAGATAGCATCTAAGGTCGAAGCAGTCTGAATGCCATCTAAGAATGAACTATCATGAAGAAAATAAATCTTCATGAATAACTTTCACCGTGTGGCACAGTTATTCTTAGGAGGATGATTAACTCTGATTCAGCCCTAAGAACACATATGATCTCTGTAAGTCTGGGAAGGTTCCCTATTTCAGGATATAACAGGGAATTTTCAACTGGGCTGTACTTTTTGGGAGTTCTTCAGAAATTTATGGGATATATTTTTGCCTTTTAGCATAGCCATACCCAAACTATTGTGTAATAATTACAAATAATTCTCCTGTAACTTATTATAATTTTCCCTTTATATTACAGTCAGGGTATTTAAAATGGAGTTTTGGAAAAATATATAGTTAGATTGTATCATCTACGAATTTCATTTGTGGATAGGAAAGGAGGTGTTTTACAAAAATACTCATTTTAAAGAGAGAGCACTGTGCCTTACAGTGCTACTGGACTAGAGACAGAAGTGTCTACAATTCCTTCTAGAAATCAGAAATTCCTTCCCCATTTTACTGTTCTTGTTTGCTATGTCATTCTATAATCCACAGACAAAATTAAAGGGTATCTAGTACACCATTTTTCAGTTGAAATTCTATTATTTTTTTCTATTTTGGGAGTTTAGTGTCTATTTTCATATCTGTTCTATGTTTGATCTCCCTCAATAAACTAAAGTGAAACTAACACTGTACTAGACAGGCACTAGCAGCGAGCAAGATTTAAAGATTATAATTAAAGATAATTTCATAATAGTACAATGAAGTTATGAATTAACAAAAAGGAGGTCAGAACACACTACATGTAAGAACACTAAGATCATTACCATGATTTTCTCTATTTAATAATTTAGAGCTACCACAATTCCACACTGTTTATGATTTTTAAGTCACCTTTAGTCATAACACTCGAGTCAGGTTTTCCATTTAAAACTATTACATATGTGGCAACGTGGATGGAGCTAGACGGGATTAAGCTAAGTGAAATAAGAGGAAAAAATGCTGAATGGCGGGCCTCCCCTGGTGGCGCAGGCGGTTGAGCGCAGTGCTGTGAAGCTGTTTGCAGCCTCTGCAGCGACAGTTCAATCCTGGCTGGCCAGCGAGGGTCCCACGTGGCGCGGCAGACCTCTCCTGTGTTTTCCGCTGCTCCCCTCAGCAGTGTATTTCCTCAGTCTGCCTGTTCTGCTCCCTGCTCTGTCTCTGGTGAATCCTCTCACCCTCCTGCAAATCTGGCCTGTACCCCAGTTCTTGTATAAATAAAATAAAAAATCTTTAAAAAAAATAAATGCCGGATGGTTTCACTTACATGTGGAATATGGAAAAACCAAACAAAGTGTCAGGAAAAAAAAAAAGACAAAACTTGCAAGCTGACCATAGATCAGAGGCATACAACAGAAGTGGAAGGGCCAAAACACAGGAGGGGCGAGCACAAAGGACTATGATGATTGATGATCACGGGTGAAATGGTGATGGGACAACTACAGGGGCTATACCAGGTGGGAGAAATCAAATATTGTCCAAAAATTAACAAGATGCAAGAAAATCAAACATTAAAAAATATATAAAAATTAAGCAGGAAAAAAAATAAAATGAAAAAAATTTAAGTATTTGCCTCCTTACTTATGATGCCTATAATTCTCACCCCACCAAAAAAGACTGATGGAGAGAGTCACAGACTAAACTGCAGGAAAGGAAAGGCAGGAAAAACACTTAGGTAGAGAAAACATTCCAAAGCATTAATTAAAATGAATGATGCAGTTTGTCTTTATCTTAGTGGACATGAAATAGAAGGATACTATGCAATACTCATGTATTTTAACTCACCACTCAGAATCTGCTGCACTGCTTCATTCCCCATCTGTGCTGCTGTAAAGCCTTGTAAGGAGATGATGGAGGGATCAGAGCCGTAACTCAGCAGGAGGCGGCAGGTCTGTAGGTGACCTGCTAGGGCAGCTCTGTGCAAAGCAGTCTGACCAAGAGTGTCCAGTGCATTCATCTGAAAAATCAGTAGGCAGGCACAAGGAATTAGCATCTTTTTTGTTCCTTTTTACACCCTAGCAAATAAATAATTGCAGGAAAAAAATCAAAGATATCACAGACAATTTACAATTAACTTTTGTTTACTGATTCTAAAGAAATAGAATATTCTTTGTTAACTCTCTGACCACCTACTGAAGATTACAACATATCCATCCCCTCTGTGTCATCCTCCACTCTGCCACTCCCCAGGACAACTAGAGTGTCAGGTCTCCAAGGGATGGAACCTTTTTTCACTGCCTGTTACACTAAAGACATTCTTTTGGATGAATTTTTTTTTTAAAAGATTTATTCATGCATACATGAACCTGGGTACAGGCCAGATGTGCGGGTGGTTGAGAGGATTCACCAGAGACAGAGCGGGGAACAGAACTGGCAGACTGACTGAGATACACTGCTGAGGGGAGCAGCGGGCAAGACAGGAGAGGTCTGCAGCACCATGTGGGTATTTTCCTGGCTGGCTGGGTTCGAACTTGCACTGCAAAGGCTGCTGACAGCTTCACAGTGCTGCATTCAACCACCTGCGCCACCCGGGAAGCCCTGGATGAATGGGTTTTACCAAACTTGTTCCCAGAATATAAAGATAAAAGACTATGTTACCTAACCTCAACCCTAAAATATCCAATTCCCTATTTAATTTATATACATCAGCATTAATTTATTATTCATATTTCACATGGCTACAACTTTATCCTTAATATATATTATCTGGAATCAATGACATATATACTTACTAAAAAATTGGGAAGTGTTACATTGTCTCTTTTACACTCAGTCCTCTGTTTTCCTCTCACAATCTCCACAAGGATATGACAGAGGTTAACACAGAAAATGCTTACCACTCAGCAGTAAAAGATTACTTTCACTAAAATAAGAAAAATGCTACATGTAATGTCTTACATCTAAACTGTAGAATTAAGTGGTTAGAACTGGCTTGAGAGAAAATCAGAAACTGTAAGAGTAACAGATGTTTGGCAATTTTACAGACAAAACAAAACCCATTTTTCTCCTTATATCTAGAGATAACAACCTGAGATATGTATATTTATGTCTGAGTAATAATAATGATTTTCCTAAAGGGGACATTAGGATAAAACAATATAAAACCATAATGGCATTTGCCCTGAAATGGAGAGGACATAAAATTGTGATTCAAAAATGCCAAAACAGTTCTGGAAACCACAAGCAGACTGCAGGGAAATGGCTGAGAGAAATCTCTCAATGTGCTAATCAGTGTGAATAGCCTAGTCTCAAACAGCTAAGCATGAGGAAGACTTCCTTTCTTAAATTTGCTATCATTGTTCAAAAGAGACCGTAACTTTAATTCTTACCTAGAATTCTGACACAGTGATTGATTTTACTCTAAAAGACTCTTAATTCTTTAATGTGTTGTGAACTTACTACAGAATATACAATTTGTCTAGTAAGTTATATTTGAATATAACTTGAGAGACATGAAACCAGACTGATTACCAGCTGAACTTGTATATTATCTGTAAACCTTAAAAACTCATGTGGAATTTATGTAATATTTTTTTTTATTTTTTACATCATTGTTCATTTTTAAACAATATTTTCTTCCCCCCATCCCTTCAGGTGTAGTCCCCATAGAATTTCCTTCACCAATGCACCCGTGCACCATCACTTCAGTCCCCTGTGCTCCTCCCTCCCTGTCTCTAATCCCTCTCCCTCCTCCTCTCCTGCAGTATATCTGAAAAACAAACAAACAAAAACACTCATGTGGAATTTAAAAGAAACAAATATGCTGAAAAGAGGTATATATGAATATTCTAATGGTATATATTTTCTTTGCTTTATCATAGGAGTACTTACCTTTTCACATGCCCTGACAAAAAACTCCCTGAATGTAACTGATTAGACTAGAGGGTGCTGGTGCAATTGCTGTGCTAAAAAAACCTGAAGTCTCATTCTTGAGACTTGGGAGAGACTGTAATAGCAGCAGGTGATATTTATTTAATCCAAAGACATATAAAATAGGGGCGGCAAAGACCATACTAAGGTCATAGAGAAGTAAAACACAAAAATACACTCTATAAAAAAGAAAACTGAAGCAAATTAAAAAAGACTGGCAGAGAAAAGAAACCAATTCAACCTTGGAAAGAACAAGAACACAGAGACTGGCAGCCAAGATAATCTAACAGTTTCCAAAGTCCTGTTCCAATCTACAGTATATTTCTATGGGGTAATCATGGTTACCTCACAGAAGTAATAAGCATACATTGACATAAAACAGATTTCCACTTGTTCTTAATTTAGATTTAGCTGATCTGTAACTGGTCTAAAATGTCTCTGAGACACTGACTCATTTGGAATTTATTTTGACAGGATGAAATTGCCAATATTATTTGAACTATAAAAGATATTTGGATCGGTATCTTTAAAAGCAGTTTAACACCTTTGAGCTAACAGAATCTGCTTATCAAACCACCTCTAAAAGAGCATTAATAAAATCCTTATAATGAGCTAACACATTTCCCAAAGTGAGCAGACTCTTAATCACATCTCAATGTAAGAAATAAGTCCATTAAATGCCAACTACTATTGGCATAATTTTTTCTTACACACAATATAAATAAATCTGTCAGATTAAAACATGAATAATCAAAATAATTTCTTCATGTTCCACACATTTAATAAATTCTCACTAATGACAAGACAGCAGTGATTTTATGTATGAAAAAAAATACTTCTGAATTAAACTTTTTGTTTTTTAGGTATTAAAAATATTATATGCAATTGTGGCTTAAGTTCTACTTAATGACAGCAGACATAGCAGTAGTAATAAAATACAGAATGCTAAGGCAGACTAACACTCATAAAGAAAAAAATGCAACAAAATGGATAAAGTTCTCATGCCTCTTAATTTTTATAGTAATCTCACAAAGCAGGGGGCTGGTAGATAAAATTAGTATATTTTGGACATAAAACTTTATTTCCAGTGAAAGTAGGCGTCTCAAACAAGTTCTGAAATACTCCCATTTTCTTATAACCTTCCTTTTTCTGAATATTACTTGTGTGTTCTTCCAGATCCAGATCCATTCTCTCCTCTGCTGTGTCCTGGGTAAATCACTTGTATGGAATATATCAAAGGGCTCTTTGGCCTTGTTTTTGTTGGTTTGGCCAACGGGTGGTTCTGGAAGGGGTGGGTGGGCAGTAGAATAAGTAATATGGGCTACACATACCCATCAAAGGCTATTAGTGCCGCCAGGAGGCCTTTTTCTCCAGCTACTCTCTCCTCTAGTGACCTCTCTCTTTCCTTTTCCCTTCAGGGCCAGTGATGACATTATCTCTCTACTTGCTGCTATATGACTTTAGCCCTTTTTGAGTTCCTTAAGCCTTGCCCATATCTTTCTATATATTGATAATTCCTTTATGAATTTTCCTCAAATGGCCCAATTTGGGTGTGCTGTTTATTGTTGACACGTTAGTTAACAAGGCCTAACTCCATCTTTGGAACACCTCCTTCAAAAGCAGCCAAAGCCCTTATATGAAAACTGCCAAATTAAATGTCTCGTCTACATTAATTTCTCCGTGCATTACTGGTTACCTGTTCCTTCTTCACATTCTTGCTACACTCAGTATACACTAAGATAAGCATTTGTTTCTTCTTCCCACTGTGCTCTATAAACATGGGTAATCCTCAGCAGTTCTTGCTGAAACTCATTTCTTTCATACTTTCTCTAACCTGCTCTCTCCCAAATTTATGCTCAGTATGTCTATGACTTCTCAACAGATCTTTCTAATCCTAAACTCTCTTTCATACTCATGTTATATTACCAACTGGAGGTTTAAACTAAATGTCCCTCTCTTATGTCAACTTCAGGTACAAAATCATGACCAAGGCATAGGAAACCAGTACTTCTCTCTAGCTCTTGCCTCATCTATTAATTTTACCACCATTTTCTAAGACCATTCTAAGACCGAATTTATTTTTAAGTAACACAATTATCCCCTCATTTGTTGCTTTCATCTTTTTCTTTCTTCTTCATTGTTGATACCACTAAATTATCTCAGGATCAAGACAGGTAATTGCATTAGCTCTCAGATTGGTATTTCCTACAGCATCCAGCATAGACTTAGTCATATTACATTTCAGTATTGGTTGAACCAGTAGTTTAAAACAAATTAGAAGGTTATTAGATATAAAAGTCATATACAAATTTAGAGAGAAATTAAAGAGAAATACGCAGTACGTAAATTTGAAAGATAAATATGGAAAAAAATATAATGCTCATACTTACTAGTAATCAAAGCATTGTCTGTGTGCCAGGCACTACTTATATATAGGATTTTTAAACTTTACAAACACAAAAAAAACACCAGTAGAGGAAGAATTAATACCTAACTGTCGCTGATCATTGAGTTGAAGTTAAGGGAAATTAAGTTCAAGGTCACAAAACTAGAGAGTGCAGTATTCTAAATTGAAAAGTAGGCCTGTTGCGTCATATAATTTATAATGAACTTAAATTTCACATTTATTACCTATCTCAGATTAAAAGACTGTTTTGGCTTTTGTAAACATTCTCAAGTTTTGTCTATGGAAGACAAAGTAGTTAATAGTATTAACTGTGAATGGATGCACTCCCAAATTCTTCAGCTTGTTCTGATTAGCAGTCTTAGTTTGAGAAGTGCTTGCGGAAGAAGTGGGGAAGGCAGCAGTGGTGGAAGCAGTATAAAAGAGCTGAAACCTAACCCAAGGGTGGTGCTACTTGTTCAAAAGCTGCTTTTAGGATCAAATGGAAACTATGAATTTCCTAGAAAGAAAACACTAAGCAAGAAAATATTGGGACCCAACAGTAGCTAAGTTGGGTTTAAATAAAATAGCAAAATTTTACTAATGTTTTAATCATCAGAGAAACCAGTACTGAGGAATAGCAGCCTGCCTGGGAACCAGGGAATTAGTGACTGAGAGGATGATAATTGGTATCTATTGGTTCATAAACCTGATTTAATATAATTTCCTCCCCTTTAAAGTTCCTGATACAGGAACCCTCAATTCAGTTAAACTGTGTGTAAGGACTAGGGAGGATTTATTAGTCTAGAAGTTATTTTACAGCATGCACAGGGTGTTTAAGGTTGTATATGCCTTGAGGATGAATTCAGACCTGTTGATGAGAATATATTGTGAATATGAAGGGGAAAAACAACTGAAAACCACAGACCTACAGGTATGCTGACTAGGTTAGATTATAAAATAATGCTATTTTCCATTAAATCTTCATGAATAAAATGACTCATGAGAGGGAACAAATGGATATTTTTTCCAAAATGAAGGGCATTTTTACAGTTTTTCAAGAACATTACAAATGTCATAAGATATTTTCAAAATGGATTGATGATAAACATACAATGCTCTTAAGCTTAGTAGAAAGCCTACTTAGCTTAATATTTACTGCTTGACAGAGCAACAAAACATTATTTACGTAAAAGTGCAGCCTCTGTACCTACAAAAAAAGTAATAAATCAGTAGAACTTTGTTCCTTTTTCTCCTAAGCCCACCTTGATTTTTAAATTAAAACACCAATTGTCCTTTTAAACCAAGGATACCCAAATTTTTGGATCATTCATCTGTGAGTTAAAAAAATGTTTTGATAACCCTCTCAATACACATGTGGTCATGTGTAAATTATAATCAAGCAATGTGATACTATATTATATAATAAATACATACAAGGTTATACAAAAAAATACAAAGAATGGGAAAGATGAAACAAACTTTTTGAAATAACATTTTAATTATCAATTGTACCAAATATATTTTGGCTCAGCTAAAAAGTTTGTTTAAATCATCTAAAAAATTGTGATATAGGGATTTCAGGATCTGATTCTAAGTTCATTTTCAAAACTTAGTTCCAATGGCTGTATTAACTAAAAAGATTTTACACAGATTGGTAGTCACTAGAAAAAGTGCTTGGTTAGCAATACTTAAGAAATCACAATGCTTATTTTTAACATAACTTACTAACTATGCTAAGGTTTTAATTGAGTTCTGCTCGTAAAATGGCATCTTTCTTGATGTTCTTGCAAACTTATTTGAGGGTGTTACAATGAAATGTTTTTTATAGGTTCAAAAATCACCTAAACACATATTAAGTAACATTTTTCATAGATTAGACAATTCTGCTAGCAAATTTTAAGATTACATAGATATGATCGTTGGGATTTAAAAATTTTAGGATTTAAAAATCTGCAAGTTAAAGTTACCTCTGAAGAACAACCAGTTTGTGTCCTTCCTCCCTTCAAGCAATTAATAGAGTTTCATATATTGTCATTCAGTTAATACCAATAAAGTTATTTGAAACTTCATATTTTTGTAGTATCAAGGTTATTTGAGAAAATTATTACCAGTTGAAGAAAAACAAATGCTCTTTAAAATAAGTAGTGCTATTTTCACTATCACACAAATTATTTTCTGATAAATCATCATTAATGTTTACTATCAAAGTATAGCAATTCCAGCATTAATATAAAATTAAAATGTATTTCAAATAAGACTTACTATATTTGACTGCTTTATAGAGCATGACAGTAAAGTACAGTGAAATACAAGTCATTTTTATTGTTAAAAAGATTTAAAAGAATCTTTTAAATTAAAGACAATGAATGAATTGAAACACATGCAAACAGTTCTTTATAAAATTAATTTCTTCAGCAAAATCTGAAAGCAGTAGTCTTAAGAGCAGACAGCAACCCAACGCCATGTTTGGCACTGTATTCCAGGTGTGTGTCTCACCTTTGCTCCATGCTTGTGCAGAACTTCTAGGACATCATTGTGAGCTCGTTCTGCTGCGACATGCAGGGGAGTCATGAAACTATGGAGAGGAAAAAAGGAAAAGGTAATTTTCTACCTTTCATTGCATTTCACCTTTAAGAATTGAACAGCTCTTTCTGTAATTACACTTACTCTTTGTTTTTTTCATTAACATTGGCTCCTTTTCTAAGTAACAATTCTGTTACTTGTTTTCGTTTAGGATGCAGGGAAGCCACAGCACAGTGCTGTAAAGTAAGCAAAACTAAGTTAATGAAGTGAAATATATTTAAATTTCTGAATGAAATTTCTGAATAACTATTTAGAATGTTATTATTTCAAAGAATATCAGAACACAGTGATACTCTTACAATTTGAGATGATTGAAATTCCTTCTAAATAAACCATAAGTACAAAACATAAGCCTTTAAAACAAAAAAAGTAAAATGATATTCTTAAACATTTAGAAGAGAAGTCATTTCTTTTCCTTTACCTAATAAATAGTTATCCAGTATATATTTATTTGAAGGTATCAATAGGTATTTCCAAAGTTACAGCAATCTATGACTAAATTACCTAATCCTTCATTAGGCTGTCATCCACATAAAGCAGTATTTCTCAAACTCTTCCACAGAGGTACTCCTAACATCACAGGTGAATAGCCCATATGCCCTAGGATAGCCAGAGGGTGAGGGAGCTTAAAGGGAAAAGTACTCTTACAAATTTTATGTTTTATCCTAATATTTATACAACTTTTAATTCAGCTTTATCTTATATTAATGTCTGTATTAAAATTTAGAAAGGAGACATCTATTCATCAATGAAGAAAATAAACATTCCAAAAAGAGCAGGTCAGGTTTATTCTATGCTTCTGAGTATCTTCTGTCATAAAACTGTGTAGGTTGAATGTATAAGAACTGCAGTTTAGACCCATAATGAACTTTACATACAGATGGCCCATATCAGCCTTTTAAAGCATCCAGCAGTTTGACATTTTCATGTCACATACATAAGAGAATGTTAACTGAAGCATATTTAGGAGTATGTAACAGAGGCATCACATTTACTTATATTCTGAATTCAGCAGTAATATATTTAGAGAAATATGTGGTCAATGACAGGGAAAATAAATTAATCTCTGAAAATGCACTAAAAAAACATGAATAGTTTTAAAGAAAATTTGTACAGTTTGGAACAAAAATTCATAATCTTACCTTTCTTAAGAATGAATTTAGTAATTCTTTGAATATAATTACTAAAAATATAATGTATCTTTAAAAAAACTTTAATCTTCTACAGAAAATACAGCATTTATCTAGCAATCATAAGAAAAAGAAGATTCTATAATGAAAATTACATCTTTGTATTTTATGAAAATATTGGTCACAAAGGTAAATTTTTTATAATATGGTTGGGTAAAGACGAATGTAAATATAATTCCCAAGTCAAGGTTGAGCAAATGTCTATTCTCTCACCCCTGAAAACAACTATCTTCTGCACCAAATTTATTTATATTTTTTAATGGATACTAAATTCACTTTTTTTAAAAAAAGATTTTATTTATTTATACAAGAACTGGTGTACAGGTTAGAGGTGCTGGAGGGTGAGAAGATTCACCAGAGACAGAGCAGGCAGCAGAACAGGCAGACGGACTGAAGACACTGCTGAAGGGAGCAGAGGCGAGGCAGGAGAGGTCTGCCACGCCATGTGGGTTTCTTCCTGGCAGACCAGGAATGGAACCCGCGCTTCAGAGGCTGCGAACAGCCTCTGCAGCGCAGTGCTCAATTCGCTGCACCACCAGGGAGGCCACCTGAACCAAATTTAAAAGCCAACGCCACTAATATTAAAATGCAAATTCTTGCCACTTCTAAGATAATTTGTTTCTGAAATGAAAATTTTATTTTGTCCTTATACTACTATTACAGACTGAAGGAGTGGATTAACAATAAAATCTTACCAGTGCAGTTTCATGAGACTGTGGTTGTTTGAAATTGATGATTTCCAAAGCAAGTGTTTTTTTAACTTTGGCTAGGTCTGCTTCTCTGGCTGCTTGTAATAGAGAATGTCCTTTAAATTCATCTGTTAATGGAAAATGGTTGAGATAAGAAATATTTTAAGCCTATAAAAACCATTAGCATGATTATAAATAAAATTTAAAAAATGATTAATTTTACATATTCTTCTATTTTACTAACAACAGCAATATGACATGATGCAAAGGATAAAGATGTAGCTTATGAAAACTACTGAAATATGTATGCTCGGAAATGAAGACTGTTTCATACTCTCAGAATTCATAGAGACACATATAAAAATACTCCAAAGAGTTTTCAAACAAACAACCTTATATATTCACCAAGGGAGAACCTGTTGGAATACTTTATACCTCCTAAATAAGCCAAATCAATTTTTTTGTAATATTACTACTCTTGCTACTACCATTGCCACCGCAACTAAATATAATGGCATAGAAAAGAAATTTCAGGTTATTCGCAAATTATTAATAGTGATTAGGTCTCGACACAGAAGATGGGAAAAATGAATTATTGGGGGGGAGTTTGCAAAAGTTTAAAAACTGCTTCAAATACAATTAACATTTATTATTCGTATAAGCAACGAAGCCTTTTTAAAAAGCATTTCTAAAATTTTGTATAACTAAAAATCCAATACTCCTATTTATTAAAAACATATAGACTTATTTTTCTACTTTACAAGTTTAGTTTATATTTTGATAACTTATTAATAAAAAGCTGAAAATTGCTCTAGAAAGATGCAAGTAACATGTGACCTAATATATTATATAACACTTCAGGGCCTCTCATGTTTAGACATTTGCATCTATCTACCTGGTACTGAATTCTTTCCCTTCTCCTTTCCTTTCCTCTAACTGTCCCATGTCACACCTGCACATAACATGCTTTATTAGCCACTACTACTCATTGCTCACATTCTCAACCAGTTTCAATTCTCTGGATAAGCCTTCTGACATTCTTTCCCTGTTACTGGATTGGGATTTCCCCTTACAAAGTCCACTGCACTTGCAGACAGGACATAACACACTATCTTATATGTTATAGTATTACCATCACCTACCACAGTGCTTGGCATATGTAGGTATGCAATAAATATTTGTTTCATGAATACTGAATATTTATAAAATAAGCAATGTTAGCCTAGGTGGGAAAAAAACCAATTTTATATAACCTCTTGTTTACTGGTACTTTATCACTGCAATTCCTCAAAGTATAGGATTTTGAAACTTTAGAAACAAAAGATCGAAGTCAAATGAAAGTTAACCCATATAGTGCCTCTGTGGTGGCGCAAGGGGTTAATAACAGCACCGCACTATGAGCAATTCACAGCCTCTGCAGCATGAATTCGATCCCCGGCTGGCCAGAGAGCAACCCACATGGCGAAGCAGACCTCTCCTGTCTCGCCCGCTGCTCCCCTCAGCAGTGTGTTTCAGTCAGTCTGCCTGTTCTGTTCCCCACTCTGTCTCTGGTGAATCCTCTCGCCCCCTGCATCTCTGACCTGTACCCCAGCACTTGTATGCATAATCTTTTTTTTTAAAAAGAAAGTCAACCCATATATATATATATATTTTTAAGATTTTTTTATTCATGCATACAAGAGCTGGGGTACAGGCCAGAGATGCAGGGGTGAGAGGATCCACCAGAGACAGAGTAGGGAGCATAACAGGCAGATAGACCAAAATACACTGCTGAGGGGAGCAGCGGGCGAGACAGGAGAGATCTGCCTCACCATGTGGGTTTTTCCCTGCCCAGCCGGGGATCGAACTCGTGCTGCAGAGGCTTTGGATTGCTTCATAGTGCAGTGCTTAACCCCTTGCACTAAGAGGAAGGCGCCCACATATTTAAATAAAATTATAAATTTTCACTTTAATGATAAAACTAAGGATAAATTGAGTCAGAGAATCATAAACTACCACATCTAAGGAGTAGGATACTAAACAACTTTTCAGGTAAAGGTATGGAGAAATGCTTTCATGTAAAAGTATGGTTTGGTTTGGCTAATCAACCTACAGAAGTCTAAATTGAATTCAAATCATACTAACTTTTTCTCTAATGACAAATATTCTATGAATATCAAAATGATAAGAGCAACTCTACCTTTTGAGTTACTTATATATTTATTTATTTAGATTTATTTTTATTTATACAAGAACTGGGGTACAGGCCAGAGGCATGGGAGGGTGAGAGGATTCACCAGGGGAGCAGAACAGGCAGATGGACCGAAGGCACTGCTGAGGGTAGCAGCAGGTGAGGCAGGAGAGGTCTGCCATGCCATGTGGGTATCTCCCTGGCCAACCAGGAATCAAACCTGCGCTGCAGAGGCTGCAGACAGCTTCGCAGCACTGCGCTCAACCCACTATGCCACCGGGGAGGCCCTTCAGTTACTTTTTTAAGTTTAAGAAAGGTGCTCAGAAGAAACTTCAATGTTAGGCAAATTTACGAAAACACAGTATTGTAGTACTAAGGAAATTTAAGGAACTATGATGCAATAATGCAATTTAAACAGCATGATATTTTCTCAAATAACAAGAAGTATTCCTTATCTTTGTTGCTCTTTAAAAAAAGGTAAAGCTGTCTGTCCAAATTGATTTTCAAGTTTTATTTTATTGATGAATTCTCATGATTAAAAAGAATACCCAGAGTTCTATCAAGTATATAACTATTATTCTAAATGCAAATATTGCATAAAGGTTGTTTTCAAAACCTCTGTAAATTAAGAAGCTATAAAGAATGCAGTAAAACTGCATTCAGTTACTCAGATTCACCCTGAAAACTTAATATTTATAAAATGTCTTAAGGATTTCTCTTTCTAAATGCATTTTGAAACAAGAATAAAAACAACTTTTAGTATTTTTTATTTCAATATGTGCAAATTACCTTTTCATTTGTTTTCATGAAAAACAGCAAAATAGATAGGAAAGAAAAAAAAACAGATGTATGAAATGAAAATGCTACAAGTATGGGCATGATCAAAATACTGTTGTTTCCTATATAGTTTTCTTTAAAAGAATTCTGCAATTATGAATGCTTAGTATAAAGCAATAGACATAATGAAGAAAATTTTAGTTAGAAGAAATTCTGCCTTTGTTAAACCCTTTTCTTCTTCAGGTAATAACTTGGTAGAATCTTTTTTAAGAAAATGAAAGAAATACTGAGAAGGTTGAAAAATACTCTAAAATGCTCCTTTATAGAGCTGTACAAATTAGGTTAAATCTTAATGTTATACTGGAATCAGAGAGACCAGTGAAATAAAATCTCAAAACTCATAATAATATTCTTAATTTGCAAAACACTGAAAGGGAAAACAAGTTAAATGATCACATGAGGAGAAAGTTGTATAAACTAATAAATTTTGAATTTAATTTCAATTTAATAAACTTGGGGGTCAATTAGTATGCACAATGCACTGTGCTGTGTTGGGGGGTAAGTAGATATTTATAGGCCCAAATATCAACATCATTAACACTTTATTGGATAACAAGGCACTGTTCAGCTAAGAAGACAAAGTATAATAAAACCAAAGGGCTTTCTATGAATTTAAATTTCACTAGGAAAACAAAATACACATAGGAAAATGAACTATATGATGCAAGATAACAAATGACAAAAGTTGTATCAGTGGAAGAGAGAATGAATGCACTTCTACAAGGACTCATTGCTAAGACACTGACCAGTTAAAACCTGGTATGTACTAGTCTGCAGTCTAGTAGATAGCTGTTTTAGTACTTAAATAAGTTTAAATTTCCATTTAAATAAGATGAAAACTATAAGGAACTCTGTTTTAACATAATCTGGTTTAAAATCTGTTTAAACTTAAGATGTTAGCATCATTTTGAGCCTTTTTCTTAAGTCATCATTTAAAGATTTTCTCAGATACTTAAATTCACTGATCTGATTCTTAGAATACAAGATATAAAAGGAAATATTAACTACAGGATCAGTTAAAAATTAAGTAGGTGACAACTAGCTAAACTGAAACCTATATAGCCACATGTAGAACTAAAAATATCTCAATATTTGATATGATAACTAAATGTAATATGCTGCCCTTAATGAGATCCTTGAACACAATAAGGACCTTAGATTAAAAACTAAGGACATCTATTTACAGTATGGTCTTTTGTTAATAATGCGGGAAATTGAGTATGAATGGAACTTTATGGAAACTCTCTGTACTATGTTTATAATTTCTATAAATCTGTAGCTGTTCTAAAATAAGAAGTATGTAAAAAAATGCATATAAGAAAACATACATATATGTAATATGTATCAGTATTTGAGAAGATTACTTCCAGCAAATCATAATAATGATTTTATTTAAATCTGGGCAATTGATTGCACTTGGCCATAATAAACATGAGAAATAAAAAATGATTTTGCAACCTGCAGGACTTGGGGGTTAGTTAGTGCTAGGTAATGTTATCATCTATTAGTACCAATAGCACAAGCACATAAATTTATATGTAATTACTGCTGTAATTCTGGTTCCTGGCACACACTAGCTAATCAATAAATGACTATTGATTGCCTCATGCTCATTAAACTTATACATGAATTAAATTAGGCTGGAATAAATACAAAAATACATAGCATATGTATATGATTCCTCATTCCTGCAGGAAAGTGTATGATTACAAACAGTTTATAAAAGAACTAGTCATAAAAAGTTTACAGTACACTATGAAGCAGTGTATATGGGAGAATAGAAGAAAACTAAGAACAAAATTTGAGTCCTATAACTAAACAAACTGAGACAGTCCAATTTACAACAGCAATGATGAAAGCAGGATCTAAGTACATACAAGTTAATCTCTCTCGGAGCTCAGGAGTTGGAGCCATATCCACAGCACTTTTGCCATGGCAGTTGACTAATGTAGGATCAGCACCATGACTAAGTAATAAAGAGCAGACTTCTACACGATTCTTGGAAGCAGCCTCATGGAGTGGAGTAAACTGCCAGAGATCCATAGCATTAACACAAGCTCCATGCTGTATTGAGAAAAAAGTTTTAGATTAGCAATCACTTTGCTAGATTAAATAAAATTAGAAAACATTTATTTCACTGTGAATTTCAGTTACAGCTCTTTGATATGTCAATACATGTTTTAATTTCAATTTTTAAAAACAACGTAAAATAAGTTGATTATTTAAAAAAAATTAAGGCAGTAGTATTTTAAAAAACTATTTTATTCTCTTAAAAAAAGTTTTTTAAAGAAAAGGTTTATTAGGAAAAGGAGAACATGAGAGTCATCTGCATAGTCAGAGGCAGGCAGGAAAGCCTTAAAAATCTTACAGGCCAAAAAACCACATGAAAACATAGGAGAAGTTTCATGAAAAAATACAATGGTATTTAGTTTCTTCAACTTCTCTTACCTTTAGTAGCAGTTCTGTGACCTCATAATGTCCATATGAACATGCATTATGAAGAGGCACAAGTCCGCTAAATGATAAAATGAAAATTAAAATCCTTTAATTTCAAAAAGCTTATTGTCATCCAAGAAGTGTTCAGAAACATACATCTAAAATATCCTAATAAAATTATATTTTTAAATACTTAGAGGATACAAAGGATACATAGTTTATATTCAGTTTATTTTGTGTATATCATAATTCTTAAATATTATGATAAAAATGCAAATTAGAAAAACACTCAGGTAAAAGAAGAACATGTGCTAATTGCATGCTTTATATTTAAGTATTTACAGAAAATAAATGTTAATTGGTAGTGAATTGAAGTATTCCCACCATTTTATTTCACACTCATGGTAATTTCCAACATAAGAATAAAATAACCAAACTGTCATAACTTGCAGTAGTAAAGTATCATTCTAAATGAGTCAACGGCCCCCTTTTTGTGGTGTACTTCTCTTGAAGACTCACCTACTGTACACCCATCTGTTTTCAGACATGCACAAGGAAACAGAGATGTACAAGAGCATCAGGCATTTGTGCCCCTATTCTATTGGGACACCATTCACATATGGCATAAAACCTGCTGCAAGCAAGAGAGAAACAGCACCAAAAAGAGCAGATTTGAAATAAATGATTCCCCTTTTGATAATGGTCTGATTACACAATTCTTCCTTCACTTTTATATTTCCTAACGTGGAGAGGGGGAAAGTGAACCTCTCTTTCAGAGTTTCTCTTCCTTATATGACAGTCATAAGAGTGAAACATGAATCCTCTTTACCTGGGTAGTAGGCAATTATGTTTTAGATATTAAGGTGGTATAGTGAGAAATGTTAACCCATCAAATAGGACAGCAGACCTGATTCACTGTCCCTGGAGACTAGATAGGAAACTGGCAAAAAGTTATTCAAAATTCACCTATTATAAAATAAACTTCATAACTACTTTCTTGGTTCCCACTCACCTCCCTCCCATATTAACTTTCATAATGACCCTTATCACCTTTATGGATTTCTCAGTTTAGATGCCCAAGATTTTATGGGGGGGGATGGGGGGGATCAGACTATTCTATACTTATGATTTTGATTTATGAATGCAATTATACTTTCTTACCTGATAAAAATGATAGCTTTGTTACTGGACTATCAAGATTTTTTTTTTTAAAGATTTATTTATTTGTTTGTTTGTTTATACATATAAGCACTGGGTACAGTCAGAAGCACAGGAGGGTGAGAGAATTCACCAGAGTCAGAGCGGGGAGCAGAGTAGGCAGAAGGACCAAAGTACACTGCTGAGGGGAGCAGCGGGCAGCAGGAGAGGTCTGCGCGCCATGCGGGACCCTCCTCCGGTGGGCGGGGAGCAGCCGGGGATCGAACCGGCACCGCAGAGGCTGGGGGCAGCTTCACAACCCAGCGCTCAACCACTGCGCCACCGGGGAGGCCCTGGACTATCAGGATTTTTAATTTGTTTTATCAGTCTTTCTGAAATATGATGAGTTGAAAATTAACTGCAACTAAAAAATTTTAACTTAAAATAACAGAATGAAATTAATTCTGTTAAGTTAAACCAATTTGGAAATTATTTTGAAATGTACCCTCAGTAGGTAGGAACATGAATATAAAGTCAAATCAGGGTTGCAAGCATTCTTAAAATGTTCCACAAGCTGTAAAAAAATGGGACGTATTACTTTCTTTATCTAGTGCTCAAAACCATATGTTGAAAACAAGGCATAATAATTCATGAATGGAACCACCAAAGGAAATAAACTGATATACCTACCCTTTGTCTTTTGCATGTACGTCAGCACCATGCTGAAGAAGAAGCTGAACTATCCGAACCCTGTTGTAGCCTGCTGCGAGATGTAAAGGAGTAGACTAGAAAAGAGAAAAAAAAAAAAACACATCCCCCTCTTTAGGTAAGTAATTCTCGTTTTGCCACTTAATCTTCTCTATTTAGATTTAAACACAATGAAAGTTAACATAGACAGAAAACACCAAGTTGAAGTGTCCAAAATTCCACATTTCATAATTGGGTAAAACAATTTACTCACCTCTGTAGTAAATTCTAATTTCATGCTATTTAACCAGTTTTCCTAAGCCCTACCTTACTTCCACATTATTTCTTCTTTCTTTCCAACATGAAACACTCCTACTGTTCTGAGAAGCCATGTCAGGGCTAATATTTCTCATATCTGGAAACATTCTTCCTTATCCTACTTAAGTCCTATCCACCTTTAAAGTTCTAATTTTTAAACGCCAATTCTAGCTCTCAAAGTATTAATTCTCAAAAATTCTCTTAAATTGGAAATGTGAAAAAAGCATCCCTAAAGAACTATTTGAAGAAACTTTAGTGGAAACAGAAAGGAACAGACTCATACTATATGGATGCTAGCAATGGGTCAAAAATAATTGCTATATTGGATGCAAAGAGATATGCCAAGTGTCTGATTTTTCTAATTTATGTACTATATATGGAATATCAATACAAGAGGAAAATAGCTTCTTCCTAAGTAATTTTGCAACATTTTAATTTGAACCAAGTTATTAAAAGGTTCTCTGTTCAAATTTAATATAGTAATTACAATAATCAAACTTATCATTAAAAAAATCAGAAATAACATTATTTTAATGAAAAGCTTCTCTTCAATCAGCAATTTTCCTACCTTTCCTCATTTATGTAATTTAAATACTATCAGCCTTTCACATAGGGTTTAGTATACTTCAATGTACTCTCATTTTTCCTGTTTTCTATTTAGACGTTGAAATTTAATAAAATTTTCAATTTATTTCTTTTACATAGTCCAAATGTCAAGATACAAAAGAATTACTAAATGCTGTATTATCTATTTCTGCTTTTAAGGCACTCCATAGATTTTAATATATTCTGACAGTCTCTAAGTTTAGGAAATATCTTTGGGCAGTAATAGCTAACATTGAGGAGGTTCTTGAATAGTAAGCCAGGAAACCTCATTACACTCCTGGATCTTATGAGCCCTGTGCAAGTTCTATTACCTACGTATCTCAGCTTCCTCAAGTATAAAATGAGATAAAGACACCCATCCTAGTTATGTCAGAATACAAAGACAGTTTTCTTAAATATATAGCTTTAAAATATGAAATATCATAGATAAATTACATAGGAATTTAAATATTTCACATATATATAAATTAAAACTATTTTTTATTAGACTGCATGCTCATCCATGTTTGTTTTAAGATACATGTCAAATGTTACTGTAAATGATACCTCTAAGGCATATCAAGTTACTTTCAGGATTACATTCTCCCTTCCTTTAATCTTTTAAAGATGCTGGGCTTCACTACCTTCTGGCTTGTTTTGTTTCACAGTAGAAATCTACCATTTTCCTTATCTTTGTTGCTTTATATGTGTTGCTTTATATCTTTGTTGCTTTTTCTGTTCTCGCTCCTACCATTCTCTCCTTCTGGGACTCCAATTATACACATATTAGGTTGCTTTCAAAGCTCACTTTTAAGTTTCGTTAAGTAGGACCAGAGTAGCCTTTAGTTTAGGACTAGTTTTCCCCTTCTACTGAAGTACTGCCCTTCTGAGTTCTCTATTAGAGTTAATGAATTATGAGATTTATTTACTCTGGTTGGTGGACAGAATAATTACATACTTTGTAGAAGCTGGTATGAGTCAATACTTTTGGGTGGTTGCTTGATCAGTCTTAGGTAATTTTACCTTATACCTGTGTAAATAAGTACTCAGCTAAAGACAGTAAGTCAGCCCTTTACAGATCTCTGGAGTTTTGGTCTCTGTGCAACTCTCCTGTCTCTGATCTTCCACCTTGTTGTCAACAACCTTGGTTTTCTCAAACTCTAATTCCATCTTCTCAACTCAGGAAGGCTAAAGAGCCTCTCACTGAATTAAGGCCTGGAAATTGCTTATGAGAAGCAAGCTGCAGCAATCACACAATTCATTTTTTTCAGTTTTTTTTTAATTGAGGTAACATTGGTTTACAATACCAAATGTGATTCAGAAGTATAGGATCACATCTTTTCATACCTTATTTGGTTACTATTCTCAGGAATTACTGCCATGCACTGCCTTATGAACAATTTCTATAAGCTTCTATTGGACACATTTTGTCTAGTTTTATATTGTTTCAGGAAGGATGGTAAATTTAGTGCTGGTTACTCCATCTTGACCCACTTTTAGGTCCGAATTGAACTTTATACTGCAGTTGGGAAGGCTTTTTCTGAGACAGTGACTGCTTTGCATCACTGAGCAATGAGTCAGTAAGCTGACATTTAATATTACATGGAAAAGGTGACACCTTTATTGCTGATACACAAAATTTTATACAAAACTTTATACAAAATTTTATTTGTATAGTTGATTAAGTTTTCATTTCTTATTCTTAAAAATGAACAACATCCCTAAGTGAAAGCATACATGGCATTTTTACACACACTATTTAGAAGAACAAAACTAAGAAAAATATAGTCTCCAAATTTTTAAAAATTATTTACAATGTTTTATAAGTAGTACTACAATTTGTTTCTAAACTGATTAAACTTGTATAATTCAAATAAATAAGAAGCCTCTGTAACTGACAAGGTAGAAATTGGTAAGAGTCCTAGAAGCAGCTGTGAAAAATGAAGCTAAGTAGTGAGTGTCAAAAATTATTAGGAGAAAATTTGATAGAAAACGTTGGTAGTAAATAATATGGCAGTTTTCAGTTTGGAAATGTCAGTGACAGATGAAAGAAAGGAAGGGAATAAGGGAGGGAGGAAGGAAGGAAGAGAAGAAGAGATGAGCAGCGAAAAGCAAATAAAAAAAGAGAAGGGAAAAGAACCTAGAGGAAATTGAGGCTTGGGTCGGAATTTGAAGTGTCTACCTGATGCCCTAGTGGTAATGTCACTAGAATTCAGGAAAAGCAAAGGCTGAAAACAAACATGGTCATCACTGAACTCATGTAATACATTATGGCATCTGCCATGTATCTGAAACTATTAAGAGACAGCATGGTAAAAAAGAAAGTCTCATTACTTTGTCCTATGGATTTTCTTATTCCTTACAAACAGAGTCCCTAAATGGAACACACACACACACACACACACACACACACACACACACACACACACACCATTTATGGACTTTAAATAAGAAGTCAAATAACTAGAAAAATGAAAAATACAATTTAGTGTGACAAATACTGTAATAAAGGAAGTTCAGAATGTTGTGGGCTACTAGAGGTCACATATGTAAACCACTCTAGGGGCTGATAGAAAGGAGTGAGGTCAAAGAAGAGTCTTAGAATATGTGAGTATAAACAGAAATCAGTGAAGCAAAAGGGTGGGAAACTTTATCACAGGTAGTATAAAAAACACAAAATGCCTGGAAATGGTATATTTGAGAAACGAAAGAAAAAAAAAGATAGTGGTTAAGGCATCAGCAGAGGAGGGGGTGGAAAAAAGCTCAAAACAGGTGAGGGAAGACCGCAATGGACTATGGCGATGGAGTCCAGATCCTATGGTGGTGGGAGAACTACAGGGACTACAGGTGAGGGGAATAAAAAATCAAATACTGCACCAAAAAAATAACAATGATGTAAGAAATAAATAAATTTGATCAAAAAGTTAAAAAAAAAAAAGAGTAATGCATGAGATTGGAGGAGACTCTAAGAACACTGAGAGGCTTAAATGACTTTAAGCTGAAAAGCACTTAAGACTGGAGTTTTGGCACGATCATGCCAGTTATTGTAGAGAAAATAAACTGGGGAGGGAGAGCAAGATGATATGGAGGAAGATGTGACTACAGACTGCTGAACCAATCTAGGAGAGATGACAGCATTAGTTAGCAAAAGGGTAGTAGCATCTAAGTTACGGTAGCTGAGTTGTAAGGGTAGGTGAATACATAGGGAGAGTGAGTACAGAACAAGCTGGATGAGACTTTCCAAGTAGTCATCTAAGTGGATGCTAATTACGTACACTAAATAGTATCTCTTGAAGGCATATAAAAATTCATCAAATGCATGCATTAAATTTGAGGAAATGGTAGAAGACAAATAGAAAAGCACAAATTGAGAACAAAGCATGATTTGAACAAGCATGTATTACTAAAAGCCCAGAGGTTTTTCCCTTAGAAAAATAATTCAAAATTAAACATTATATATACCAAATGCCATTTTTTGATGCAAGCAATTAAAATAATGTGGCCTAGGAATAAATTTGTCACATTGTGCCAACTTTACACCTCAATTGCCAAATGGCAGAGTAATGATAAAAGTAATTTTCTAAATGCTAGGACAATTAACAGAGTGCAATTTCAATTTTGAAATAATAAAAAAAAGACACATTTGTAAAATATTCACATGTTACTTGACTCTTGTGGTTGTAAACTAGTAAACCCAAGAATCCAACACTTAAGACATTATCATACATAGGACAGCAATCACTGCCAGTTTGCACAACTCAGATTTATTCTCAAAACAATTTTTTCTGTTGGGATTATTTTAAGTCAAACAGAACTGATAAAGTATAGAATAACTGCAAAGTACATCCTGCCTATAAATCTAAGTATTATTCTAAGAGAAATATTATTACTAATAGTTTCACATTGTCAAATATTGACTGAAAAAAAAAATCCTTAATTAAAAAAATCCCGCAATTTGGGCCTCCCCGATGGCACAGCGGTTGAGCGCTGGGTTGTGAAGCTGCCCGCAGCCTCTGCGGCACAGGTTCGATTCCCGGCTGCTCCCTGGCCACCGGAGGAGGTCCCGCATGGCACGCAGACCTCTCCTGCCGCCTGCTGCTCCCCTCAGCAGTGTACTTCGGTCCTTCTGCCTGCTCTGCTCCCCGCTCTGGCTCTGGTGAATTCTCTGACTCTCCTGCTCTTCTGACTATACCCA